CAAAGCGAGAGGAGCCTTGATCCTCACCAGCCCATGCCTTTGTAAACTTCATGTATTATGTGGTTTATAATGGAATGTGGTGCAGAAACAGTGAGGCTTACATTGTCCTGGTATCTGTCAGTGGTCATACTTGATGCAGTGTTTGAGAATTTCTTCATTTACTTTGGTATGTTAGTCCAGATGAGCCAACCCTCCCAAGATGTAAAATAATACAGGAGTATGAGACATCATGTAGCACTTCATTTCTTCATGTGGCTGTTGTTTATTAATGAAAAAGTAACAATAATATTCAAAAAAACATTTGGTTTTACATAATTTCTTAACACATCTAAAGAAAAGAAATTTCTTGAATGACAATCTCTTTTATCTCATAGATGACATCTCTGTCCTGTCTCAGGCACCATAGCTATACTGCTCGCTTGGGTAGGGGAGGGGGGGGGGTGCAATTTGCAACCCTCACCACTAGATGTCACTAGAAATTACACACTGAACCTTTAAGTAGGATTCAAACCAGTTTAGTACTGTGCCAGAAAGTCCAAGTCCAACCCAGTTTTCAAGTTGCTTGAAGGGTTATTGCTTTAGATTCCCTACTTTAGTAGCACTTTCCTGTGGTAGTTCAGGCTTGTACATCACTACAAAAGCATATTTTAGTGCTATTTACCTCTCAGTTAAACTGGCCTCACTTTTACTGGATAACTGCGCTTTATCTGCACTTCAGTGTCCTTACATGGAAATGTAAATACACACTGCCAGCGTCAGTGTTGAGAATACAGAGAACAGAAAAAAAACAAGCATTTACTTCTCTTCCACGCATTTCCACAGTCATGGAAGGTGTCACACATAGTTATTTCATTAATCTACCTCTGTTGGTCACATATAACCTTGTAGCGCTACCAGCAGTAATCTGGATTGGCAGTACATCAGACCAAAGTCCCACTTTTGTTCTATTGTTCTGCTGCTGAAACCTTCTCACAGGCCAAAGGAATTTAAAAACCAGGGTTTATCCAGTGTGTTTGGAAAGCTACGACAACGGACACATTATCCAGCCCTTTAGTGCATTTAAGACATCAAGAGGCTGCAACCGTTTCTGAAAATTATTCTTCAAAGTTGAAGTGAAAAAAACAAAAACAATATTGGACTTACATCGCATTTTCACCAAACATCACATTTCCCCTTAACACTGGAGTTTAGCCTTCTTGTTTACCCTTCTTGGTGGCTGCTTTGGCAAAAAGACTACTCGCCATTAACGTGAACGTGCCTATTTGTCTGGGAGCCTTGGAGGAAGTGATAAGAAAATACACATCCTGCTGGAGAGGGATCTGTCTCTGTCAATCAATGTACTCAGCTCATCTCCACCCAAGTCAAAGGAAAACCAAAAGAAAAGCAGCTGTATTGCTGGCGGAACCACAGTGGAGGTCCTGACATCAGAGTGTGAAGTCTTGACATCAGGAACAGATCGGACAACAGAGACATGAACATGATCTGAGCCAATACTACACAGTCCCTGCGGGGCCAGTTACAGATGAAAAAAAGGCACCAGCACTGACCCCGTGCTCAAGTGTTCACATACCTTACAAACTGAGATAAATACACACACTGTAGCCTAATAGTTACACCTACAAATTGCAGTAAGCTTATTCCTAATGCAGTGTGTTTTAAAAAAGTTAATCTCAGTAACGTAATCTAGGCTGATTCATCGACGTAAAAACTCCGCAATCTAGACAGAGTGAGCGCTTCGATAATTGAAGAACAACGAATGACTGAAGTTTGGGTGCTTTTGGTTTATTTATAAGACACGGTCTAACAGAGATTATGGGGAAACACCTGTTAGGCTACTACTTGTGTAACAACAAATGGCAAACACGTAATTTACAACAAGCATTCTTACCTTATTGTGAGTGTGAAAGTCTTTCCATCCAATCAAGCCTGTTCAGATGATGCGTTTGATCCAGAAACTTTAGTGTAGTTGGGGAGGGAAAGACAGAATTAAAAAAAAGATGTAAATCGGTGCGCCAGGAGAACACGCGGCCGCACGCGCGCCTCTTCTCTCTCTCTCTCTCTCTCTCTCTCTCTCTCTCGGTGTGACTTTGTTGAGGGGGTCTTCTGGGAAACAGTGACGTATAGACGAACGGAAATACCTTTTGACAATGGTGGAGGGGCGCAATAATTTCAGAAAGGGACAGAATAAAATACACTCGAAACGGATTAAATAAAGTGTGTCAACCTTTATATGCTCTGAGTTTCACTTGTCAGCTATAAGGAAAGCCCCTTCAAGTTCTCCCACGTTCCACCACACACCGTGTTTGGTTTGGCTTGTTTGAGGTGCAGAAAAGTGCACACACAGTCAAATAGGGAAGATTGTAAACTGTTTGTTTGCTTGAGCTCTGAAATTTACTCTACACTACTTCTGTCTTTTGGTTTTTATATTCATATGTATCCCTGGAGATGCACCATATTGTGTGTTTATTTGTCATGTAAAATACCACATTGTGGTGCCATCTTTTGTGGCTTAATGCAAAGGATGCTTTGAATTACCTCTGTGTTTGATAAAGTTGCATTCCCTTGCCTTTAACATTTGATGATGATGATTTGTCTTTATCTCTCTTGATCTCAGATAAAAGCTAATGTTGCCATTAAACTACTTTTCTAACTCTAACATACATAGGCCTATATGGAACCACCGGGATACTTAGATCTCAAGTGCATTGCCAATAAATGATAAACTAAACTAGAAAAGAATTTTTAAGACTCATGTTTCTCATAAAGAACTGTCAGGTTTGCGCAGTGACAAGAGTAATGTTGACAGTCAGTCAGCAGCATGAGTCATCAGTCATGGTTCATAACTTAAGTAAGATTCTCCAGTTAAGCAAATATGTTTTTGGTTTTGTATTGGATGGAAGATTTAAAAACCCAGAGGCCTCCTCCACTGTCGCCTCACAGCAAGAAGGTCGTGGGTTCAAACCCCAGTTGCCCGGCCTTTCTGTGCGGTGTTTGCATGTTCTCCCGTGTCCGCGTGGGTTCCCTCCGGGTGCTCCAGCTTCCTCCCACCGTCCATAGACATGCAGGCTAGGTTAATTGGTGTCTCTAAATTGCCCTTAGGTGTGAATGTGAGTGTGAGTGGTTGTCTGTCTATGTGTGGCCCTGCGATGGACTGGCGACCTGTCCAGGGTGTACCCCGCCTTTCGCCTCCTCCAATCACATCCATTGGAGGTAACACATGTGAAGTTCAGAAACACAGATGTCTCAAGCCACAGTCAGGCAACCACAAGTTAAAGTGTGACTGCTCCAAATGGTCACACTGTTCTTTGTTGAGGATCTGAATTAATGGCAGCTTGTGTGTCTTCCGTCAAAGACAATGCCACATTAAGGAGATGGCTTAGATCTGTCCAAAGATTTATGTAAATCCTTAAAGTGACATTGATATTTTAGGCATCTACCAAACAGCATCATAAAAATACAGTGCAGAATTGATCAACACTAGAGTACTGCATCACAGATGGGACTGACGATGTGTCAGTGTTTGCTGTGTGGATCACAATCTTGTTCCCTATGAAGATTTCCTGTTCCACAAACACTGATGTGACCACAGATCTTCCAACACACCCAAACCACCATGGATGATGTCCTGTGAACCAAGAGATGGTCAGAGATCAACTGGCCTTTTTAAATGTTCAACTGCCAGTGCTCCTACCACTTCTTGTGGAAGAGCTGGTTTGTTATCTGCAGGATGAAACTGGTAGCCTACTGTTGGAGACTTTCTGACAGAAGTAGCCTACTGTGGGTTAAAGCAAGCCTATGTAACGTCAATGTCAGCTACTGACAAGTGAAAATGATCAGACAGTAAATGCTAAAACCTAGTTTAACAGCAGTAAAATTAGTCAGTTACACAGCAAAATCTAAGCCTATCTAAAGTTTGCTAACTATCTAACATTAGCCACCACAAGCTTCTGGTCATACCATACTGATGATGGTTATAATAGCAAAACCCCAGAGTAAATATAACTCAGCAACAATGTGTTTTGCTGCTTGTGAGTTCATCATTGTATTTATAAGATAATTAATTTGATATTTCATCTTTCAAAAGTGACATGGACTCACTTTAAAAACAAAAACAGGTTGGGTTATCACTTTTGTCAGAGCACCAAGGCACATTATAGGAGGAACTGTTGTTATTCCAGCATCTATAACCAGTTTGAATATGATCCTAACTCAATATATTAAAGAACCTCAGCCAGACCCATAGCTAAATTAAGGCATGGGTGGACACCATCACCACAGACATCTTCAAAATGAAGCTTCCTGAGGCCGCTTGAGAAATGAAGTATGTGCAAAAATCATTTCTCAGTATATTGTAAGTGGCAAGCTGAACTTGCAACACCTAATATCAACCAGTAGAAGTCACTCTGGAGTGTATTCTTTTCTGTCCCTGTTGTCCTCCACCTGACATTTATTATCATATGCAGTTAAATAATGTGCTCTATAAAACTCTCAACTGGGGTCTTTTCAGATTGTGTGCATCTCCACTTTCAATGAGACACATAAAGATATGTCAGTCAATTGAGGTACCAGGTTTGTTCTTGAATTGGTCCTGGGATAGAAAATTGTCTTAAGAAGAGTCCTAAATTTTGACCTATGACCCAGAAAGTTCTTAAAGACTTTGTATAAAGAAGCAAGTAACTGTTAGCTTTAAGTGTGATTTTACGTGCAGACTGTATTTAGTGTTGGAAAATAAGAATACATTTACACTTTAAGTGATACATTTCCAGAACAAATGAAATGAAGCTTAAAAAGTTTCTATTTTTAATTTCTATTGTTTTATTGTCTTTCAAATGCACCAGGAGTCTTGTGCATCACAGCTTAGCTAATTTAATTTTTGCACTTTTTATAATGAATATAGATGAAAAATCACAGAAGACTTTCAGAGTTTTCAGCTGAAAAGCTTCCAGGCTGCAGGCTTAATCTCTAATCAAAGAAAAAGAAAATTAAATCACATCACTACGTAGATACAAGGAGATTTTATTTAACATTTTTGTGTACAAACATAGGCTGCAAATGCCTTCCAAACATGTTTGCCCTCAGAATACAGTATTCCTTTTTACAGTTCTACAAGCAGAACACTGAATATTGAACAGGAACAATAAGAGTCAAAAAATTGAGGAAGGTAAAAAGTGAAGTGTTCGTGGTTGGTCAGCAAGTCTCATCCTCAGCTTTCCGTCACAGGTGGAACAAAACAAAACTAGCATTTTTCCCAAAGGTTAAAGTAGTCTAATGATGTCATAGAAGTGGCGGCAGAGGGTCATTTGGAAGTATCAGTATGGAAATGTAGAGATTTGTAACTTTCATATAGAGCAATATGTTCCATATCTCCAGGCTATTCCACAAAAACTAAACCTTTTTTGTTGTATTTACTTGTTGATGTACAGATCTAAGGGAGTGAGGTTATGGAGGGTACATGCAGTTACACAATGAACAGACAAAACAATGCAGATTTGAGAGCAATATAAGACTATTTTCTCCTCTACCACTTAATGACAGCTTGGCATTTTTTCAATGAGACTAGAGGTGTGCCAGCTCAGTCCTTAACGATCATATGTCAGGCGATGCCACAATAAATTAAACGGAAACCAAATAATGTACTCTCTAGTATAATACATATTATACACAAGTAAGAGAAGTCTGAGTTACGTAAACTCACAAAATCTACCTTTTCAATGGACAAGAACCTGCACCTGTTATTCCGTTAATCAGATAGCTAAACAATCACAGTGGCCAGTCTGTTGTACAACACAAGTAACTACAGAGATGAGCCAACAATGCAGGAGTAAGGGGTTAAAAGATGTCATACACAGTGGTTGTGATTCTGGGACAAAATAGTAACAAACAGTTGTAACTTTGACAGGATGTTCGATAAACAGACTGTAACATAAGACTTACATTTTCCCAAAGAAAGCACACCATATAAAGACAATTTTTAAACATTAATTTAGCTCAAGATGATATTATATCATGAATAAATAGCTCCAGTAGCCCCTCTTATACCAAAACAGGGGCAAAGCATAAATAAATAAGAATAAAAAGGCAAGTTAAGGAGCTGAAACTTTAAGAACTAAAATATAGACATGGGCAAGAAATTCTGTCCTTTGCCCTATTAAGACTGCCTTTACGGTTGGAATTACAGCAGTCAGATGAAGGTGGCAAGTACAACGGGCATGTACAATATGAGCTAAGACCATCTTAATTTTAGGTCCTGTCTTAGTCTTCAAGAGATAAAAGGTGTGTGGCTGTCCTCAGCAAAGGCAACAGGAGACGGAACAACGCTTCCACTGTCAGCGTTTCCGCTGATGTTTAGAGTACGACAGGCGCTAAACAAAAAAAAGTGTCGAGGCACAATAGGGTAGAGTAGTGTAGGCAATCGGGACTTGTTATATTATAAGTCCACGGATGAACGAATGAATAAATTAATGGAGGATTCATTTCCCATCTCATCCTAAAATACAGATGATGAAACAATGTGTGCATGCTACAGTAGGCCAGGATTAGTGGAATTACATAATGGCAGTAAAAGAAAAGTGAAGGCATGAACACTTTCCAAATCAAATCTCAAACATTATTATTTATGTGGTTGACACAATGATTTTGTTTTATCTATATTATCATGTGCAAAGCGAGTGTAAATGGCTTAACATGTTAGAAAGTCGATATGTATATGAAAGAAAAGACTGCTCTTACTTTTAAAGTCTAAAGACATTTATGTTAATAACATTTACTCATATATGCCCCCTCTGCATTATCCTAACCATGGACACAACCACACACAAGCCCTTATCACATCCATTAACTCGGTCAATAAGACAAAGTTTTATGCCCAAAATATGTGTGGGAAACCAACCTTTTTATTTACTCATAAAGGATAGTCAGGTGCCCATTTGAACAATGACACAAGTTTCGCTTGTTGTAATCATCATACTGTTCATACTGGCTTCATAAAAGGTCCCTTCCTGAAGCACTTTCAATGTAAGCAATGGGGACAAAAAGTCCTAATTCTGTGCAAAGAGCTGTGGTGAAGGGGTTTTAAATAAGAGGAAATTTTGTCCTAAAAGGATTGTAACTTTTGAGGATAACCTCTTGATCTGATAAACTCGGATTGCTGAAGCCTTAATATTAACTTCAGTTAAACTTTGGGTCTTTTTTCTCATAGAGCAAGGACTGTGGATTTGAGCCAAATCCCTTCCAGTGGAAGCTCAGGAAGGGATCTTTTGGCCTGTATGAACATGAGTGAATGATTACGGCAAGCAAAACATATTTCAATGTTCACATGGGAACCTGAATAGTGATTTGAGACAGACTTAAAAAACTGGGACCTATCCTTTAAATTGGCCAGAAAAGGACATGCTGTAATAATGTAAACCAGATACACACGAGTTACCAACATCCCAAAGTCTATGACACATTTGTGAACAAGACAGTAATAACAAGGGAACAAACAAAAGGGGAAAAAGGGAAATCAAAGTCAATAAAACATGCCTGCATGTTAAATTAAGGACATAGAAATTAAAACGAGTATCAACAAAATATCTTAAGAGCTTTCCTTTAAATCGGCCATTGAGTTGGACACCTTTAGGCTTAATGGGATAAAGAACAGTTAAAGGGACAAAGACTTATTGGGACATTTTGCCATACGCAATGAGATAAAAAAAAGTTAAACAAAATATTATTCCTTCATTAAAACCAACTTATATGCTGTAGACATATATGCTGAGTGCTCAGGTCACTTGATTTGTAGTATAGTAGTTCTAACATTGCATGAGTGCACTTCTGCAGCCACAGATTTAATGGTACAAATAGAGACAACGTCATATGTGTGTGTGTGTGTGTGTGTGTGCTGTATTATGACATTGCATAATGTCTACACTAGACAGGCGTTAGTGTCTGGATGTGGGACGTTGTGCTGAGGAACACCCAGCAGTTAAAGAGCTTGTGCCTTTTCCACAGCAGCATACAGTAATGTAACTACAATGTGTGTGTTACCTTCATAATAATAACCTAAATGAATAATTGACATGGCCGAATGGAACAGCTGAGTAGTTTCTCTAAGAACAAGGCTAAATCCTGCTTATTTACTGCAAGACTCGAAATCAAGGCTAAGACCTACCACTTTCTTAATCAAACAGAAAAAAAGTTCACATAGAAAAACAAACTGATTCCTCCCCCCAGGCCCCCAAAATAAATTACAATAATAGCAACAATGATTATACTGTTAAACCAAAAGAAACAAAAAAATTAAACTTTAAGATTATGTACATACTGTATCTGCAAATACAACTGCTTCCTTTTCTCCTACAAACAAATGACATTAATTTGGCAAGACGTCCTATATAACAGTAAGAAGGACGTGTCATCAGCAAAGACATGAACACAGACAATTCCTATTTTAGAAAATATATTGCTTCCTGGATATTTAAGCTGAAGACTACCTTGAGAAACAAACAACACAAATAAAAGAGGAAATTTGCTGTTATGATCGGAAAAACCGCAGGCAGTCAGATTGCAGTGTATTACTAATCATCGGGTTCCTTTTTTTTTTTCTTACACTCCCTCTTTGAGCTGTAGAGTTTGTCTCTGATTCCAACAGGGGGGTTGTATACGTTGTAAACACATGGCTTCCTGACACAAACAAAAAAAAGCCAGTATCGTGGCAGCTTGAAATTTTTATCTCCCACAAACAGCACAAATGTATCCTGGTCTTCTCAATGTGCTGAGATTATGTAAGAAACAGTTAGAATTTTCCTCAGCAGGTCATGAAGCAATGTGTTGAGATTGATAAACATATTTCGCTGGAGTCTCGAGCTGATGATTGTCCAGAATAAACACAGACGGAGAAACAATGCCCAAACAGAAAAGATACACCGCAATTCTGATTTGTTGGCAAACTAATTCAAGAATGAACCTATCCTGTTCTCTTATGGACTGATTGTGACAATTTCTTGATTTATGAACCATACTGTCTACAAGCTGTAAAGGTTGAATTTGTTAAGACCAACAAAGGGCAAGGAGGAGACATGTAGATGGTAGATGTACCCACACCATCACTGAAGGTACAAGGAATCACACTAAATATCAGGTAATGAGAGATATGAATGGCAAAGACCTCGCATCCTCTGAGCGCCAGCGGCCCAATGGCGCCCTCTTGTGTTTCATGGGTCGCAGGCATTGCCAGAGACAATCCTTCGGAATCTGGTCAGTCAATTCAAAAACATACTACTATAGGCTCACTTTGAGCCATGGTCCGTGTATTTTTCACTCCTTCATGGTCAAAGTCTCACGCCAGCAGAGTCAATGTTAGCTCTATACTTCAGTGGAGAAGAGGATGCTCTGTCGTTTACTGTCTGGGGTGGGGATCGTCTCCAGCTGGAGGAAATACAGCAACACCTGGACCTGCAGGGAAACAAAAAATGGAAGAGAGACACATTTGTACAACAGAAATTAGGTTTTGGTTCTTCAAGTTTGCATTTAGCAGAGCATCTTCTAATTAAAATTAATTTAAAATTAAATTCAGTTAAAATGCCAGAAGAAGATCTGTGTGACTCACCTGGGCCATAACTTCCAGGGACCAGCTGTCCCCCATGCTGATGGGTTGGGTGGGGTTGGCGGGAATCTTGCTGTCCTTCTCGGAAGGCCTCAGCAAGGTCGGCCCAAACACCGTTGCCAGGTTGTGGAGAGACATCTTGTTGATACTTTCCTTCTCTGCCACCCTGAGGAGAGGAAGACGGACAAGTCCATTAGCGGGGTAAATAGAGGACCAGACCACATGCAGGTGATGTTTATGTGCAGTGATAGATGTAGGTAGGTTGGTAGGTTTATTGTCATAATATGACAAGTTATAGAGTGAAATTGAGTTTTGTAACTCCCTTCTACTACATAGCAGACAATATACATCAATGCAAAATCAATTATATAAAATAGTAAACAGAAATAAACTATAATCAGTGGAGCAGTGCTGAGGATGAATTAGAGTTTAAGAGTCTGATAGTTTGGGGGAAAAATGTGTGTGTTGTGTGTGGACCTCTGGCATTTATTAGATTCAACTAGTGTTGAAATGATGATTTGATTAGTTGGTTGACAGAACAATGCCGATATTGGAGTAATCAATTCAATTATTCATTAAGTAAAAGTGGTAAACATTTGCTACTTCAAGCTTGTGTTTCATAATTATTTATTTATTATTTAGGCCTTTAGTATGCTTGTTGCCTGATCAGATAGCTTTGGAAACCTCCCACCCCAAACTCCCTGATAAAAATAAAAGGGATGGCTGTGTCCGATTATTTCTATAACCCTCCCAAACAGACAATCCAACATTCAAATCACGCTCAGCTGTGCAGAGGTGAGAAAGTAAGCAAGGTTTGAATTTCTCTCTCTTGCTCTCTTTTTTCTTTCTCAACACAACTATGTCTGTCACATTTCTGTGAACAACAGAGTTCAACACTATGAACGTCCTCCAGGCAAGACTGTCTGACAATGTGCACCATACTCCCTGTATTCAAGCAAAATATGATTACCACTTGTCTATGACAGCCTGCTTTTCACTTCTCCTTTGAGCGCGGCCATTATAAACACATTAGATTTCCAACGTAGTCAGACAACATTTGATCTAGCTCTTATCGAGCAGAATCTGACCCTAATTTTAGAGTGAACCTAATTTGGTTTTAAAATGTTGGACAGACAAATTTTGAAGGCATGACCTCAGGCTCTGGGGACTTGACAGTTCTTGCTATTTTCTGAGATTTTATAGTCTAAATGTTTCATCCATTAATTAAAAAAATTATCAACACATTAATCCATAATGGAAATAATCATTTTATCCCTACCATTTACTGCCGCTACCAACAAATATAGAACATAGCTTTGCCTTTATAAAGCGTATATGTATCAATGAAAAATAGGTTTTGTCTTATCATTTTTCAATCTCCTGTTTGCTTAACTACTTGACAATCAAGAAAAGCCATAACATGCATCAGCAAGTTTTAAATATAATATAAACATTAGATACTACAAGGACTCAAATATTTAATTAAAATCTATGTCGAATATGAATGGATCTGCTTGTGTGTGATTTATGTATATTTTTATGGCTTTGTTCTTTCTGTGTGAACACTCGTGTCTACATATTTTACAAGGGCGTGTGTGTGTGTGTGTGTGTGTGTGTGTGTGTGTTTACTTGTTCCTACCTCTTCAGGTGATCCAAAAGGAAAAGGAATGTGACCAAGTTAGGTTCTGGCAGCGACAGCAATAAGTTCAACATACAGCTCTCTTTGGCAACACTATCAGAGAGCGCTGCACAGGACAAAAGGAATTCAGTTTTTACATATCCTGGAAATGAAAGAGTTATTCTTGAACCAAATTATAAATTTAATTAACTGATAATTAGCTGCGTTCCATAATGTCAATAGCCTAGAGACTTACTGATGCCACCTGCAAAATTGGGGTAGAGCTCATCAGTGAAGAGTGGTTCTGGCAGCTCTCTGAAGTACAACTTCAAGGTCCCAGCGATGGCATTGACGTCCATCTCACTCATCATCACCGACACATCTTTATGATCTGCAGGAAAGCAACGACAACAACATGAAGACAGGAGGTTGCACGATGACAAAAGGAGGATGATAACACAGAAAACATCTCGGCATAAGCAGCAGTCGCCATGCGTCCTATTGTTCAGTATCTAACCAAACAGTAAAGTACACAAACCCCACACAAGATAACGTTTACAATTAGCACACAAACACAAAATGCAAGTTCATAAGGAATTAGCCCACAAATCTGGTTAATCGGTTCACACCAGAGAAAATTCCACATGTTAACAAGCAGTCAGACACAGAGTTACTGTAAGGATCACCTGAACAGAAATAGAAAGATTAGAAAAAGGGTTTCCTTCAGGCGATGGCCAATAAATCCTCTCAGCCTTCTGTCCTAGAAATGCATTGCAGTTACAGTATTATAACCACAACAAGGGATGTAAAAACAATCAATATTTATGGCAAATACATAGTAAATATTGTGCATCTTCGAATACACAACAATCTTTTAGAACTCACACAATTTTTCAGTTTTTTCAATTGAATCTAATTCAATGTTATTTACATAGTGCCAATTCATACAGAAGTTATCCATCACACTTTTCAGAGAGCAGATCTAGACCGTACCTATGCAACATTATTTACAGATACCCAACTGCCACCATGAGCAAGCGCTTGGTGACAGTGGCAAGGAAGAACTCCCTTTTAACAGGCAGAAACCTTGAGTAGAACCTACTCCATCTAGCTTCTTTGAAGGTTTGGGGATCTTAAAACAGGTCTACTAAATATAATTCCTTCATGAAAAGACACACATCGAGGATCTGAACAGAAATATGGTCATGTTGACATGTGACAACAGTACAAATTAAATACTTAACAGCTTTGTCACATAAAACCTACACAAAGCATGTACTATATATAGATGAAGGCTATACTCACTGGTGTCAAAGGCGGTCTTCAAGGCCTGAATGTCAGTGGCGACTCCCGATACTCGGTAGATGCCCACCTCCTCCATACCCCTCCTTTCAATCTCTTCTAGGCACTGCCGGACAATATAGGGCACCTTGGAGCGTTCTCGCCTGGATGAAGACAAACATCAATGATCACCAAACAAAGGAGTTTTTATTGAGTAAAACACAAACCAGCAGGACTAGTGAATACATGACGAAGCACTAAATGTTTTGTTTATTGAGACAAAAGGACAGAATGATCAAGACTGATTGTAGTGTTTTTTCTTTGCTTGTATTTCAGGTGAAAAGTTTCTACAATCTACAATGCTAATTGATTTTTGCTGGTAAATCTAGTTGACCCGCTTGTAATCTTAAATCTTAATTAATGTCACTAATCACTAACAACAATGGCCGCAAACACACAACCGACCGATGCTTCTACTGCATGTAGTACTTTAGTCCAGACTGTAACATCTCAACAACTGCTGAATGGATTGCCATGAAATTGTGTGCACACATTCACGGTCCTCAGCTTGTTGGCTTGTTGATGTTAGCATTATCTCAAAGCACTGCTACGCACAGCTTCACAGAGCTGCTCATGTGACTTTAGGCTCCTCCCGGCTGAACGTCAGTGGAGAATACAAATGTGCCCTTGATGCCTGACAGACTGAGAGAACCATGGATAACTGTCAAAACAGATGATTACTCTACAATTAGGTAGCTCCTGTGTGTTTAAATGCCAACTCACTTGGTCACTGTAGAGATCTTGACCCCAAACACGCCCATGGGTTTCCGCGAGGGCATCCTCTTCAGGCTGAACTCTCGGCTGGTGAACTTCATGGAAAGTTTGACCTCGATCTGACGCAGGAAAAAAGGGCTTAAAGTTAAAACAGGTTTACAGAGTGAGAGACCAATCTACGAGCCTGAAATCCATCTGCAATAGCTTTCCATGATCTTAAGGAAATCCTGCCATGTTAAAACCAGATGTAGACTTCCCAGAGACATCAACTGCAGAAACTGTTTAGAATATTCCTCACCGCTGTGTGCTGCCATAACATAAATATAAGGCTGTATTGGAGCTACGCAACACTGACACCTACTATGAGTATTTTGAGACAATAGATAACTATCAATGTACAATAAATGTGTCAACCTTTTACATGTGAGGAGAGGAAATGCAGGAATGTACTCTGATAAAAGTACTATTACTGTGATCTACTCACCCCGTTCATGGGAATAACTGTTCTCTGCCAGTCTTTGCCTTGGAGAGTATGAGGGTCAAGCTGGGTGGAGAACAAAGACAATATACTGTAAGTTAGCATCATATGTTTTTTTGACATTTCATAGTGGTATTTCATTTGAGCTAAAGTGATATTTTGCAGTCGAATATCATTTGTAAGCTGTTTTGAAAAGTAAACAAATAAAAAGTACATTTACTTAGGTACTATACTACTCCTGCACTCAAGTGTTTCCATCTTCTGCTACTTTCTACTTCTACTCCACAACATTTCAGAGGCAATTATGGCTTGTTTGACCCTACTACATTTACTCGACACAGCTGTAGTTACTGGTTACTTTTGACATTAAAACTTATGATAACAATACAAAATACAACACAGTGTTAAAGATTAAACCAGTGGTTCCCAACCTTTTATGACTTCTTACAACCCCTCTAAACTTCTCACGTTTTCATTTCAATAACTGTTTCAGGCCCAAAGGTAAATTTGTTTATTGTGGTAACAGGTGATGAAAAGCGTGACACATTCAGGTCACGCTTGAGGTCACTTGTAGGCCCAGAAGTAGATTGATCCTTGACTCCTTATACATAGCTCTTTGCGGCTGTCCCTCTCCCTGTCAGGGTGACGGCAGCTGGGTTAATAGGGAGGAACTGTTGTTCCGGCTCAAGGCTAACAGATGACGCATTTCTTGAATGCATAGAGACTGACTGTCTCCATTTAGAATGTTTTGCATGTAACCTCCAGCCTCCAATGTACCTTAGGGCAAGGCATTAGACGCTGACATCCCGTAGATTAGCTGTACAGATTTAGGCCAGTTAAAAATTGCCTTTTAGGGATAGACCATATACAGTGTTGGATAGCTGATGGATAATTTTTGTGGACTAAGAGGCATTCTTCAGATTTGGTATTGGCAATGCATTGTATCTGCACTCTGTAATGCTGATTCTGTGATCTCCTCAGCTGAGCTTCATTAAACAACGCTGTGTAAGACATCCTGAGTTTTGTGAGATCTTCTTCTAAGAGTCAACGTGCACACCAGAATGTCCATAATTCATTATTTCACAAAAAAGATGTGAAAGTGAATACCGATTTGGGCATCAGAACTTTTCTTCTTTACTGCCCCATTAATCATCTCACGACCCCACAGATTTCTCTTGTGAGGGGCTTGACCCCTGGGATGGGAATCACTGGACTGAACTAGCTAAAAGTATTTGAAGTATTTAAAACTAGCTCCACCTCAAACAGCTATAACAGTAAAATGCTGCTTACGTCTTGATGCATCAGTATTAACAAACTAATAATGTCATTTATAAAATCATAAATATTATATCAGTCACAGGAGCCTTTCTACAGAACGTGTGTTTACATTTGAGGCTATAAAGCACCTTTTGATGATACTTCTGTTATTTTGAGTAGAATTTTGAAAGCAAGACTTTTAATGGAGTATTTTTAGACTGTTTTATTGTTACTTTTAATTAAGTAAAATATCTGAATGCTTCTTCCACCACAACTATTTGTTTGTTTGTTTATAAGCAGAATGTGTAAAAAAATTTTTTTTTAAAAGCTGAAATTTTCTCATGAACCACAGCGGCGACATGATTATTTAATGCATATTTGCTTTCTTAAGATTAAGGTGTCTTTACATATGGTTGTACAGTACAAATCGTCCCTCTCTCGTAGTGGAATGTTCTCAAAGGTGTTGTTATGTTACATCCCTGTACTGTATTTTTTATAAATATGATAAACAAATCTAATGGGTTTATATAGACTAAATTCACACCTAAGCATGGGCAAATACACTCAGATCTGAAGAGACATGCCATCTGGGGTAATAAAGCTGGGTACATGCACACATCTGACACAACGAAACAAACACACACAGTGTACTGTATGTTTACCTAGGCTAAACTCCATCTGGTTGCGTGCAAAGCTGCATCACATTTCTCATAACTGAATCTTTCACTGCTGAGAGTGCTCTTTGGTTTGAGCCTTTTATCTGCAAAGAATTACATTCCACTAAAAACAGCAAAGCTCCTTTTGCTTCCTGATAAAAATGTTTTAAAAGATCAAATTTTTGGCCAACAAATACGATTTTTATCTTTCACAGCCTTTACCGGTCAAAGTCACAGATCTGTTAAACTGAACCGTATTAAATGCTGACATGAAGCCAATAGTATGAGCTGGGACAGTTTAGAAATACTGCATAAAAGATGAAAGAAGAAAACTATTGCTAGAGCCCATTCAGATGCAGACAGGCCTATTCATACAATCTATGTATGCAAGTTGTTCATTAGGCCCATAATGTATACAGTTAAAAATAATTCAGTTCCTGAAAGAATCAAAACGTTGTTTGAGTGTTAAAAGTTGGGTGTTCATGTTTAAGAAACAAAGGATCAGGACTAGATTAAAAATCACTATGTTTCTGTTAAAGGGGTAAATTTATGGAGGACATGAAGTGACAAAGTGAAAATGTGTAGCATACTTATACTTATACTCAAGTTTAGTTAGACTATATGACATTTTGGCATTTGTACTGTAAGAATAAGGATGTTGTAACTTATGTTCACAGTGACTTTTGACAATAAATTTAAACGATGTCTTGTAAAAAGGGTGGGCATAATGATCTCAAGCCTACACCTTGTTGTCTTATATCATTTTTTTTTATGTTGGGAATAATTAATCTTCTCTTGTGTTTGTGTAGCTACTTACCTTTTGGACCAAAATAGATTTCAATTTTAAATTCCGACATACACTCAGAGACATACAGGACTGAGCCTTTCTATTTGAAGCAACAATTTGAATAAACTATTTAGATTAGAATAAAAGTTTGGGCTGATACTGAAAAAGAAAACATGAGCTGGAGAGAACTATAGTCACTGGTGCATATGTCAACAATAAGCACACAAAATAATAATGCCAGAGAATAAATAGAAATAAATCTTTTACATTTAGACAAGTAAACCGTAAATTACCTGGATAGTATGTTTTGCTACCAGCTACTCTGGCAAATTAATGGTTATTTTCGGGCAGTGTTTTTGCCCTGGGTTTTTGAAAATCCTGAGCTGAGCAACTTTGTCACCAGTCACTCTCTGCGGTTTGTTTGGAATGACATCATCTGTCAAGACGTGATCATGTCACCACAGGAACCACTAGGTGGAGCATGTGACTGTAATTCACAGTTTAGCAGACAATGAGCAACAAGGAAACTTGTGTTAGTGTAGACGGCAATCCGAACAAACTGTTCATAGTTATATGAATTCAGTGCGCATGTGATACAGCATGAAGGTGATTTTTCAGCTTTGCTACTGTGTTCTGAGTTTGATCCAGGACAAAAACACAAAATAAGCCTTCACACATCTGTCAGACACCAAGAGAAGATCAGTTTTTTTTGTGGGTGTGAGGTGAAACAATGCTCAGCAGTGTACAATCTTACACACACGCACACACGCACACACACACACACACACACACACACACACACACTTAAACAAAAGCACACACCAGCCCTGCTGTGTGTGGAGAAGAGAAGGAGGTTTTTGGTGGTAGGCAATCACAGACTCTTTTTGTCTGCCTGTATTTCTCTTTCTGTATTTGGCATTATCCTGTAGGCTGGCGTCACCTTAGCAACCTCATCACCTGCTATCAACCTGTGATCAGTCTTGCGGCCAGACTGACTGACATCATCAGGACGATGTCTGTGTTGGGTGTTTCGGGAGTATCGTCACGATTTTGTCATTTTTACGGACGGAGCTCCTGGTAGTATTGATGTAATTTGCACATGTGCAGGATGGCCCTGTTGTAACTAATAATAAATTGTTAACCATATTATAAACAGCCATTCCCAGAGTCACCACTTTTTTGATATTCATATGACACCCCCTGCAATGTCATTAACTGCAATTTCCTTCTATTTAACCAACCCCTTCATATGCCTTACATAATAGGGTGATTAAACAAAATTTTTACATCATGCTCAGTTTAAGTCATTCATTCAGCAATAATATGGATTTCATGCTTTGTGCCCGTGGTGGTGACATAACTCCCTATCAGTAATGAGTCATGGTGGGTCTGCTGAAAGGGGGGGTGACGTCATGTCATACCGGGATCTGTCCTTTTCCCATGATGCGGTCAGTGCTCTCTCCATCCTCTTTGTTCTGCTTGGTTTTGTTGTAACTCTTCTCGTAGCAGAGCAGCCTCAGGGTCTGAGAGCCCTCCAGATCAATTTCAAATTCCTTAGAGGAAGAAAATACACAAATATAGTTCTAGTGAGATTATTGTGCAAAAACAACGGTGCAAAGGTGTCCACGATGTGAGTACACACATGAACCGAGAGAGGATTCCTCCAGAAAAATCAGCATCCACCCAAGACTTTAATTTATACACCCCACCACTACTGTCTTTCCCTCATTACATTCCCTGTAATTATGTACGGGGGCACTCTGCATATGGTTTGCACATCGTTTTGAGGCCCACACTGTGTTGGTTCACTTAGCATTTGGACAGATGTGAGTCATCACCAGCAGCCCCTCATTAGATGATATTATTTCCACTTTGCTAAGCAAAATCCTCAAAGAGTCTTTGGGTCCACGATGGAAAAAATTGTGCTCCAGATGAACCGATCCACTGATTGTGTCTCAAAGCTCTTCTTCCTCCAACATCCAGCTGTGTCATTAATGCATTCATGTTTGTGTATGTGTGCCTTGCATGTGTATACAGTATGCATTTGTGTGTGTGCGCTACATGTTTGCAGGGGCTGCAGATGCTCTTTGAGGGTTCTGTTGGATATCTTTTCATTACTCAAAGATGGACAGCTAACTGATTACAGGACCATAGGTGAGATACATGACAGGCAGCATAAGGTTTACCAGGAAGTAAATGTATTAATATATGTCTTTGCTAGTTAAAAGGTGTTCCAATGAAGGAAGTTAAGAATAATTGATGAAATAGTCTTGGAAATACTTTCAGCATTGACTAATAATTCACCCCTTTACTAACATAGACTCTCCAGGGACATTTTATTTCCTGCTGAAATATGTAGAGATGCATGCTTATATTGCACTGGTCTGTCACCTCGTTCCATTTGGGTTCTGTAGTGTATCGATACACTCTCGTCTTAGCTTTACTTGAAAAGAAGCCAAAGGAATCCACCTCCAATGTGCAGTAGAGATCTGACAGAGAGGAGAGGATTGCAAAGATGTTACACTCAAGAAGTGTTCTTTGTGAATACATTACATTAGCAAATGAAGTGGCCAAATGTTAGATGTTATCCCCTGGACACAAATTAGGAATGAGTCTCGTGTTATACAAATCACTAAATATACCAAATTATCAGTTGAAGACATTCATTCTAAAAATGCAACTTGAAAGTTTAACCTAAAATGAAAAAAAAAGTCAGAGGGAAACACATAAATCCAAAATTCTCCACCAGAAAAACACTGTTTTCCACTGCTCCATGATCACATCAAACTAATTTTGTCTGATTATCTGCATTTTCTGTTGTTCGCATGAAGGCTAAAGGTGAGTGACTCACTCAAGCTCTGTTTGAGGCCGGAGGCAGAGTGGACGATTACATTCAGGAACCCGTTGAGACCGGGGGATTCATCCTCTGGAAAAACATTCAGCGAGCAGAGAAAAAAAAAACAGCGAGGAGGGGTTAGAAAAGCATGCAGATCTCTGTTTGTTTTGGAGCAGAGGGAGGAAAAAAACAGCCATGTACAGTAAAAAGCATGTGGCTTAAACCTCTGTGTACTTCATCCTTATCTTAATAATAATTATTTGCAATCATTTCTTTTCTTTTTAGTTTTTGTGGCATTTTAAGGTTTAACTGTAACAAAACTAGGCCCCAAATGCCTAATAATGTCAGAAGAACACAATTATTTACTACATAATGTATGATGAGGACAACTTTATTTTAGTAAACAGCATCTGAGTCTTAAAAAGAACTTTCAAAATGAGTTACTTACCTTCTTTATTGATGCTAAGTGGAATGTGGTGGACAGTCTGCAGTTTGACACAGGAGCTGGTCAACATTTGCAGCTCCATGGAAGTCAAGGAGGACGTTTTCAAACCTTGAGGGAAGACAATAACGTATATAATGTACACTGTAAATTACACTGGGCCTCATTCACTAATATGGACGTAAAAATGTTCTTACTTAGCACACAAAATAAGTGGACAATGGGACAACAAAAATTACGGTCAGATTCATGAAACATCCCCACCGGCCAATTTTGTTCTTACCACCGTGTGTATGTTAGTGAACTGAATCGTTCTATATTGACAGGCAGGTATGTTTGCAATCAACATACAGCCACACCCCCAATTCTCTATATAAGGAAATACATTTGCCTAGAGTAGTATCAGGGTGAAACATCTGAATTTGTAAGAGAAAAGCATGGCCCCAAAAGCAAAAAAGTAAAAAGGACTTCACGATTGAAGGAATTGAATAGTGTCTAAGGTGGGAGCCAGAACAGGCACTTATATCACATATACATAAGTCATTAAAAAACAAAGAAAACCAAAAAGTGTTATCTTTCACATGGACATTCCCATATACTCAATTCTAAGCTATGACTGAGAAGCTCAGTTTTTATAGTTGAATGTTTTAATTATTACAGTAATGTATCACAAGGTTCTTGGATTATTAGCTGCTAATGTACACTGATCAAAATTATAAATGTAACACTTTTGTTTTTGCCCCCATTCACCATGAGCGAACTCAAAGATCTAAGACTTTCTCTATGTACACAAAAGGCCTATTTCTCTCAAATATTGTTCACAAATGTGTCAAAATCTGTGTTAGTGAGCACTTCTCCTTTGATGAAATAATCCATCCACCTCACAGGTGTGGCATATCAAGATGATGATGATGAAGGTGAAGATGCTGGATGTAGAGGTCCTGGGCTGGTGTGGTTACACGTGGTCGGCGGTTGTGAGGCAGGTTGGATGTACTGCTAAATTCTCTGAAACGTCTTTGGAGACGACTTATGGTAGAGAAATGAAAATTCAATAGCTCTGGTGGACATTCCTGCAGTCAGCATGCCAATTGCACGCTCCCTCAAAACTTGCGACATCTGTAGCATCGTGCTGTGTGATGAAACTGCACATCTTCGAGTGGCCAGCCTAAGGCACACCTGTGCAATACCCATGCTGTCTGATCAGCATCTTGAGATGCCACACCTGTGAGGTGGATGGATTATCTCAGCAAAGGAGAAGTGTTCACTAACACAGATCTTGACAGATTTGTGATAGAAATATTTGATAGAAATAGGCCCTTTTGTCAACACAGAGAAAGTCTTGCATTTATAATTTTGTTCAGTGTACATGAATTCACCTTTACTAAAAATGCAAGATGTTTGCAAATGGGAAAAAAAACTTGGTTTGGATGAGACATGGTCTGACAGGACCTGTCTGGGACACTTACATTTCTTCTGCTGTTCCTTGATGACCTCCCTCCACTCTGCACGTTCATAGTCAGATGAAATCAGGAAACTGTAACTCTGAATACAAACACACAAAAAAAATGGCTGTTGATTCATCAGCAATTAATCTGAGGGAGAGGCAGGCTGTAAAATTAAAAGGACATGCCATCTGTGCAAATGTACAATCTCAAAATGTAAACTCATGTATTGTCGTCCAGCCAGCTTTAACAGATGTATGATACAGAAATCGCACCACACTGATACAACAAAGCTTAAGTATGAGTCAGATCAAGGAGAATGAATCTGAAAGAAGATCAATGAGGGGATATTATGTTGGGAAGGAAGCGGAGGACGACAAAGAGGTAGTAATATGAGAAGGACAAATGAAATACAGAGAAGAAGGGCGTACAGCGAGCAGTAGGAGGAGGCTGATGGGGCAGAAATGATGATGAAAAAAGAGAATGTAGAAACAGAAGCAGTTAAAGCTGGAGAGTGTCATCACCTTGCCGTTCTTGTTGTAGACTCTGAGGGGCATGCTGGGAGATGTTAACAGGAGCAGAGACTCCTGCTCAGACAGCTTCTTCCTGAGACGGTCGATGACTTTTGAACCCTTGTTGGCTCTCTGAAATCACAGAGGTGAAAACGTTTGACTGTGTGTGAATGTTTGCGCAGGAAGCCTTACATCATTGTGGAAAAATTCCTATCGCGAAGAAGTCGTGTGAAACTAAAGTGAAAATCTGCCTTGTTTTTCTTAGTTCCTGAACAGATTTTTATGAAACAGTGTCCCATCCAAGCTACCTTCTCCCTCTGGATCTCGCTGCGGAGGTGTGAGATCTTGACCTTCATGGCGTCGAGCTCTTCATCTGGGACCTGGGGGATGGTAAGTGGCTCGGTCTCCTCGGGGCCTTGGAAGGTCAGCTCAGTCAGTGGGATGTACCACTTACTATCATATTGTTGGTTTTTACTGCAGTGGGAGGAGGAGAGGCAAAAACAGGGGGGATGGATGGTGAAAACTCAGTAAACAAAAAAGTGGGTTAACTGTGTCAAAACATCAACAAGATAACTGCTGCTACTGGTCGCTTGCAGTGTAAGTAATCTGTGTATTGTGGTGTATTTCACGGCTGTGATCACTCTAACAAGGACAAGATGCATAAGCAGTTATGTCGCTTACCCTCCTATCTGTTTCTTCAGCTTGGCGCAGAGCAGCAGATCAGTGAAGAGGAAGACATGCCGCAGCTTCCTGGCTCCCTCCACCAACTCCACCATGAAACTGTCCCTCAGAAGCTGGCGGCTCTATAGTGGAAAAACAGACAACAGCGGTGGGTCAGAGACACAAAGCTGTTGGCGTCAATAACTCATTAAAGAGGCACATTTATGGTCTGTCACACAAAAACGGTTGCTGTCGATTGTTCCACTTGGTTGGCTGGTTGAATGAACACTGAAACTGTACTTGGTGAAACTTAAACATATGGATATTCTTTTCTAATATAGTAGTCTGTGTTATGTAGGCAGCAGTAACAGCTTCTTAGCATACAGTACCATATAAGGACATTTCTGTAAGTCTTGGTAACAAATCTGTTGCAGCATGTCACACAGGGAGCAGCTGGCTTGCAGAGCCTTTCTATTGTATTCCTGCATCCCTCTCTTCCCACCTTAGCGGTCCTCTGTTACCAGCAGGCAACTTGGGAGAGGTAAGGCCAAGATCATAGAGGAGGGAGCAAGGAGTCTGGATTTTAGTTTTACTTGCTGCGCCACCATCAAAAATGTCGGCTTTACTAGATCATCAGTGACAAAGCTCATGTGCTCGATATTAACCAAATTATAAAACAAAAATGTGAAGATGTGCTTTAGATTGCATTGTTTAAACTAATTACCTGGTGAATTCTTTTGTCACATTCTGGCATAATCATCCATTTCTAGAAAACAGAGGAACAAATGAGGTGGCTGTGGAGAAGGAAGAGTGTGATTCGGAGCTCTGTGGTCCTACCGCTGATGTCAGACTATGTAATGAGATGTGTAATACTTTCACTTGCCAAAAGGGGGCAGTGATGTCATTTTGCAAACAAGAAAACAAGAATGGACTTGAAACAGGGAGCAGACAAATGTCACACCACAACTCCATAGTAAGCGGTCCACTTTCACATGCTCATAACCTTGTTTTTACTTGTGGTGCGGGGTAAAATGGTAAGGCAAGGAAGGTTTATTGTGATAAAAAAAAATTTTTTACTCAGCAGGCAAACGGAGCAGTTTGCATCTAGTAGGGAAGGGACTTTTTAAATACATTTTGTAGTTCATTTATGCCTATTTATGCATCATTTCTGTGAACAAATTAAATTTGAAATGTCAAAAATGTGTGTATTCTGCAAGTCCCAAGCTCATTTCACCCACTGTTTCTTCAATATTTAGCTTGATTACACCTATTTATTTGAGATAATTACATGATATTTTTTTTAATTACAAATACATTTAAGTGGGGTCAAATATATAATGGATAATGATTTTCATCAAGTTTAACTGAGAGTGAAAAAAATAAAGTGTGAGCACTGCTAGCTGAAATACTGACAAGAGAAATGGCAGCTAATGGGCTATAACATTAACAATATGCAGACATAAAGGATTTTACAGTCCATCTGCTGCTGCTCCTCAAACCAAGCAAATCAGAAAGTAGGTTTGACCACCAAGATCTACTATTTTTATTCACAGGACACCGCTTCATTCACCCCAACCAGTCACCCTACTTCTTAATCACTTCCATGTTGCCCCATGCCCCTCCAAACCTAGTCACCCTGGCAGCAAGGCCATTGTTCAGAACCAATCACATCCCTTTCTTCATCTCTGCGCCCTCCTCTCCTGTCACCTTCCCCCTCTCTCCATCATGACTGCACCATTACTGTCACCACCAGAACACAATGAAGTGGAGCGATGCTTATGTAGGTGAGGTTTATCTGCTGACAAAACCTGACTGGACATCTGCTGGAAAAGGGGAGGATCATGCTGTGTTAACGCTTGTGCATGATGGAGAAGTTGAAGAGAGGGTGACAAAAACAGAGAGAGGTATGGGAGCATGAAAGAGAGAAGGTTTCAGAGAAAGACATCAAAAGGTAAGAGAATGGTTGAATGAAAACAGAGAGAAGGCGACAGCAATTTGTTAGTTTGTTTTTACCGCAGATACCAAATCACGTGACATGTCAGCAAAGCAACTCCACTGCAGTGATCTGTTGGCATTTCTTCATGCACATGCAAGCACACCCATACAGATGCAGATTAAAATCCTGTTCTGACCCCTGAAATAAGGATCTAATAGAAGTCCAATTTCCACTGGTGGATGTACCAGCTAGGCAATGAAGCCTGCAATGGTGATGGCCTATGATGGATAACTACCAGATGAGCTGCTCTCTGTCTATCTGGCATTTTTTCTCTAGTGTCAACTGGGATGCTACAATTTTCAGACACAAGAACTTACTCTTTCCTCTTCCTGATCTAGTTTGTGCTGCAAAACAGACTGAAATATGTTGAAACTGCTCATTATTAATGAGTCTCTGGTAAGTGTTTACAGTACATGTACATCATTCAGTCTCTATCTTTGGGTTTTGGGACTTCGATACTACAAGAATGGCACAATCCATGAAGTCATTCCACATGTAATGTAATCCCCTGAGGATATTTTCTAACTAGAATATAAAACAAGCCTCCATCTCGCCTTACTTCTGTCAGTCTACATGCTGTCATGTCAGTCTATATTTAGGCTGTACTGTAGAGTAGCTGAGACATTGGTCACACTGCTCCGCTCAGTTTTGGCATATTACTCAAATGCAACATTAAACTGAAGGAATGAGGAACACTAGAGCTTAAGCTATACTGTGAAGCTATACATGCATATTACAAGCACCAATGCACCATCACTGTACAGCACACCATCAGTCTGATCTCTTCCATTTGGGCCAGTTGGCTGTATGGCTGTAATATGATGGCGGATTTGAGTTATAAAGTGCATTTAATCCATGCTCAATTACATACAGTATATATATATATATATATATATATATATATATATATATATAGGGATTAATACTAAAATAGAATCAGGACCAAGAGTCAACAGCCATGCTAGCAGATCTGTTAGGATGTACTTAGGCACAGCAGAGCTTTGAGCTAAATGCTAACATCAGCATGCTTCTGTAACAAGCTCATGACAACAATATTAACATGTTGATGTTTTGCAGTTGTAATGTTTGCCATTCATCATGCTAGTTTAGCGTTTTAGCATGCTTGCATTTGCTAATTAGCACCAAACACAAAGTACAACTGAGGCTTGTCATTAGTTTTGCAGGTATTTGGTCATAAACAAAGTACGGTAGTGGAAAATTTTACTTTTGGAACTGATAGAGCTTAAGATATTTCAAGAGAAAACTTTGCGCTAGAGGAAAAGACAGTGGTATATCCTCTACCTGAGTTACAGATCTGCATACATTCAATTTACATTAGACTCCTATTGTTTGATTTTGTAATTCTTTTTTGATATTTGTATAATCACGTATTTTGATCTGTTTGTATTGTCCTCTCCTAACTTTATTTTTAACTTTTCAAAGAGTAACTGTGCCTAGTCTAATAACCTGGCTTGCCATGCCAACAAACGGTGTGGTTTCCACACCCTGTGGCACTACTATACCACGCTACATAACAGTTGGCTGTGGTCACAGTTGCGAGAGACCACACCTGACCCACACCTAGCTATGCTGTTGGATGTGGTCAGAGGTTCAAGAGACTTACAGTATACCTTTGAACCCACAGAGGCCAGGGCAGCTATGTTTTTCCTCCTTCCAAAATCTGTGTGGAGTTACTCTTTAATTATTTCTTTTCTCATTACATGGTAATCTTTGTGTATATATCAATGTAGCTTTGAATCGTGAACTTTAGATTAGGAAGCAACACTGTTATCCAACAAGCTAAAATCTCCTGTGATAATCATGACGAGTCTGCAGTAAATTCTTAGACTGGACTAGATAATCGATGGGATTATCGGACAGGAAGTACAACAGTAGATTAGGTTGGATTACTATTCAAAAAGTACGAAACTGACAAACTACAAACACTGATTCATGCAGATTAAAATGAAGGGTTAGCAGAATTGTTTTACACAGGAGGGTCTATATTAATCTTAATGTACATCAACTGGACTTGAAGAGAAACTCATCGAGCCTCAGTGATAATCCTCTCCTCCACTGATCTTATGATAAAGAGATAAAATAAAGGGAGGGAGCTAGATTAGAGATTTACAGACTTCTCACTGTGTGGGACTGAATGGGAATCATGTGGTGGGATAAAGCAAGACTGGCCACTAAAATACTGCAAGACAAAAGCATTTTCTCCCAGATACCCCCATCTGATAAGATATTTCTTGCTGGTTACGATAACTGACAAGTTATTCATATACTTATTCTTATACCTTAAGGACACTTAGGCGTCTGTGGACCCCCACTTTGATAACCTCACTGGCCTGAAGAATGCTTTTCTCATGAGTTTCATTAATTTAACACTGATCGAAGGGTTTGACACCCTCGCTGAATGCCTGTAGATGCTAATTTAATTAAAGTTCTTTGTTTTATCTTTGGATGCAGAAACATACTCCAGTTGAGGCTCATTCCTATTGTAATCTGATGAATTAAAAAAATGTGCTTATGCTGCTGCTTTGCTCTGCTACTGGGGGAATAGACATCCTTAACAAACCAGCTGTCTCAGCGCATCAGATGACATTTTCATAATATTGAACAGCCAGTAGGAGAAATGTGACTTTCTGCATTTCTCATAATAGCTGACCGGGACATCAGCAACACCGATGTGGAAGGAGAGCGACGTGAGGCGGAGCATGCTGACTGCACAGAACGCAGATTAAATATTGACCATCTCCTGGAGGTGCCTCGCTGAGAGCGTGTTCGCGAGTAATGGCAGGAATATATAAAAGATCCATGTTTATATTTAGAACACACGCTTGAAGGGGCATTTCTGCGCTTGTGTGTTTAGCTGCTGTGTGTGTGTGTAAAACAATGAGTGTATATGGGGACGTGTTTGTGTAATGATAAAGGGAAAATGACGCACAGACCGATGAAGGTGGTGCATTTCTACCTGAAATACACACACACACACACACACACACACACACACACACACACACACACACACACCAGAAGCATATCTTTCCCACAGGCAAACAAAGCAGCGCGAGGAGGGGAATTGAAATTTAGGCAGCACCATCATTTGCATTTTAATTAAGCAGCTTCTGTTTATCCCCTCCCTTCATCTGGCCTGGCCAGGGCCTCTGGGGGCCACTTCTGCTCTACTCCTGCATGCCTTTGCTGAACAAAACAACAGGTCCCACGCCAGTGTGTGTATGCATGGAGGGTAAGAGTGACGCTTATAAATGAGCACTGTGTCCTCTCTTCCTATTCTATCACGAGTGCTACCTGATTGTTTTTTGCATCTTAATATTGAAATTTTTCTGCTATGTGATGTTGCAAAAGTGTTCCCCACACCCTTAAAATCATCAGTTCATTTAACTCTGAGAATGAAAAATCAACACCATGCTAATGTTTATAGACTTAGTGTTCCCTTTGATATTTCGGATTGCTTAAACAGCTTCTACAAAGCGCTGTGCGCAACCAAACACCTCCTCAACTTGTAAATCAACTAAAAGCAAGAGCAAAATTTATATTTATTAATTATCTAACAAGTGTAAGCCCAGAATAACTATCAGCCACTAAAGCAAGAAAACCTACTGCATAAATTAAATTAATGTAATTTTGCCTAGAAAAATCCTGCAGCCATCCAATTTGTGTTGACATCACATGAACAAAGGATAATGAAGGTAACAAACTCCTTTATTAAATTAAAACCATCAACAGTATCAAAGGCCTGAGTCCCTCTCTGGGACATCTGAAGCCACAGAACAAGTATAGTTACCTCCACAGCAATGCTGATAATGTGCACCGACTTCGCAGAGAGATCAGAGCACAGATTCAGCTTCAGCGGAGTGACAGTTCAGGACGGTGAAGAGTGTGTTGACTTTGGTAGCTTATACCCGGTAGCTCAAATGACTTCCTCGTTTTATGTAGTTATAGATATTAAAACAGCATTACAACCTTCTCTACTCTTGGTAGAAACATTTGCTTGGTTATAGCAGCGTCCTCCTTATTGAATGCAAGAAGTCAGCTCCTAAACTTATCTAAACTAAGTCTTTTGGTGACTGAAGCGAGCTATACGTTGCAGCTCCGTTGGTGAAATACGGACAAAAACCTCAGGCGTATTATATACTGTGACTGTGGTAAGGTATGATATAATGAGCCCCATCGATTTCCATGTGCTGCTTTCATGTATCCACAATAAATATTTGATGACTGGTGTGGAGGTCTGGACAGAATGGGATGGAACTGGGGCCTGAGGGGAAAGGAGGGGACATGAGTGTGTGTGTGTGTGTGTGTGGCTGGGTGTGTATATGTTCAAAGGCAAACAGGAGCAAGAGAAAGAGAGCGAGTGAATGGAACAGAGAGCAGGAAAGTGTGTGTTTGTGTGTGTGTGTGTGTGTGTGCGGAAAGGGTGCGGTAATGACCCTCCTGTGAGCAGAGGGAGGAGCCTGCACAGCCTTTACGCTTGTTCGCTCCCACCCTCCCTTTATGAATAATTAACTTGGAATCTGCCAGTCAGAGCGGACCGGTGGCTCATTACAAGACATTATGTACGCAGTGTCACGCAAGCTATCAATCAAGAGGCATCCATTCATGTGCATGAAGTCATCTCTGGAGATGAGAGCGACGGTGAGGGGTAGATTGTGAGAGTGTGTGTGTGTGTGGTTGTGTTAGGGGAGAAGGAGGGAATGGAAGCCACAAGAGAGACATAGAGCACACAGAGAATCACCCTCAACTAGGCAACCCTGGTATGACCATATAAGGACATGGGCTCTGCATTAGGCTGCAGATTGGCGGCCTCTGTACACTCATGTGGCAGTGACTTCAAGGTCATTTTTAGCGGGCGGGGTCATGACATCATCTTGCTCAACATCAGAGATGGAAAGAGTTAAACTAATGACTATTATTTTATGTTTACTGTTACATGTTTACTGTAACTTGTCTGTGGAGAAGTGGAGGAAATAGATTGCTTTGTACAATCATTGGGTCTTATTCTAAACCTAAGTGTCATATATTATTTGACTTTTGAAAATACAACAAAACTATTCCCTGTTGTTTCCTGAATGCTGCAGCAGTACCAGTGTTAAGGCTGCAAATGTGTTAAAGGGACAGTCACTATTTAGTGACTTGGGTCTGTATCAATCAGATATTGCTGTACTGTGTGGTTATTTGCTCTAGTTCTTGGTCATTTTGTCAAAAATACAGTGAAAAGCAAAAATTTTAAGTCACAACACAAGATGTAATGAAAACGCTGTAAGCCACAACAACACAGCACAAAAACTGTAAAATTTCTGTCTTAACTTTCTCGTCAGGTCTTTTAGTAACCCCACACCTTTTTGTTTCACTCCAGTAAATTAGTACACAGTATAGTCATGTAACATAACATGCTGCCTATCAGATGTACAAAGAAGATCAGGCCAACAGGGTGTGAAAATGGGCTACAGAATGGGGCTCAATTCACTCATCGGGTGTTTTGTAAAGCTCTGAACGCTCACCTCTCCCTTCTTGACAGTCATAGACTGGCGTCGGGGCGTCGTCTCCTCGTTGATACTGGACAGGAAATTCTGGGAGATCCGCAAGGCGTCCTGTAGAAGCGGGTGGTCCGGGTGGCTAGTAGGCGTGTGTTTGAGCAAGTCCTGGAACACAGCAGTAGACAGAGAAATACTAACTTTCTTTTGTCAAAAATGTCAAGATAAAAGAACCCAACTAAAGTTACAGCACATATTACTATTAGTACATCCCTCCTTTACTTTTCCTTTATGGTCTTTGATTTATAAACAGTTCAGTCGTCCTCTTACTCAAAACTCCTAAAATACACCCCTGCTGAAAACAGCAGGTATGACTTATTACGTAATAGTAAATTATGTGACGTAAAAAAATCAACTTTGTTACAGAGACTTGGGCTGGGTACTGATGGAGAAAATGTTTTACAGAGATGGTGACAAAGCAGATCAGTAAGAAATACCTGAAACAGAAAAAAAACCATTTTATATTCCGACAATGTTGGCAAAAGAGCTGCAGGATGGGTTTTGATCACCTGTGTCATTGCTTCTAGGGTTGATTTGTGAGCAACAGAGGCAATTACTAAAAGAAAACACAGCACAATTGTGATGTGACATTATTATGTGTCGCCATTTCAGCGCTCACTCTTACTTACATGAAGCACCAATGTGCTGCGAGTCACTCTGTCCACTGGTTTATATAGCAAAGCTGTACATGAAAAGAAGAGAAACCAGACTGAATTGTTCCGACAATATGCTACATGTAAATATTTAAATTTATGTTATATTTAATTGAATTAAGTAAAAACTAGCATGGTGAGACTGACCCTCTAGAGAGTTCTTGGCCATCTGGTCCTTAGAGTCCTTGGGGCTCCTCACCTTCAGGTTCTGTTTGGAGACAAAAAGCAGGTTAAATGTGGAGAACCCTTATTTAAAAACCTGTTCAGTACAGTTAAACAATATGAAAACATAGTGAGGTTATTATCCGTGCCCTAGCACTGAGGTTGTCCACTTCCAAATGAATTATGCCATCCTCAGCGGCTTTTGTGCCCACCATCTTGCTCAGATGGCTCAGAGTCATGCATCATTACTTAGGCCATTAACAACCCTTGATGATGAATTCTCCATCATGCATGTAGACACCAGCCTCAACGCTAACTGGCAGACCTCATAAAACATAGACGAAGACTGATGGTGTATCAGAAACAGCCACATGCCTAAGAAAACATAGGACAAAAATGTACAAAAAAAGAGCTGAAAGATTCCCATCAGACTGCTGAACATACTGTTCAACCCTGGACTATTTTCATCTCGCTAACCTCAATCTAATGAAATAGAGTGCACTTTTTCTCCATTTTAATGTACATACTGTTGCTCAAATAAGCCCCACACACAACGAGTAACATTTACAGTGATGAAACATTATTTTTAAAGGCTGCATCTGAAGCCATTTTTGTGGATGCTGGATGAACAGAAAAGTGCCAAAACATATGAAATGAGCTGCAATACTATTTGAACCTTCACAACTCCCAACCTTGTTAGACTGGTTCAGTACAACACTGTTGGGATGTAGATTATCACTTTAATGTAGGGTCAATTATGTTATATCAGACTCCAAAACTAGATCAGAGTCATGAGGATAAGTGTTTTCAATTCTAGTTTGTCTGGAATAAAAGAGATTGTTCTGAGCCCTCGAAGCTGTTGGAAACTTGCATTTGGGGAAACGATAAATGTATAAATTTATTATGCTGTCAAGGCTCATCTAGAGTCTGCGTAGGTGATACTGAGCTCATATTTTCCTGCTCAGCGTTGAGAATGAGACCAAGCTAAAATGACAGAAAATACAAACTGTTATCCTCTCCATTGTCCCATTTAACGGATGTACACGTGTACACTTGTAATTGGCAAACAAAAATCTACACATGGGCACACACACAGCCACCCACGCACAAGATCGCCTCTGGCTGCATTTGTGCAGAAATATTCAGAAGGACATTCAAATTTAAATGCAGGGAAATAATAAAAGCTGCGTGGGTGAATAACGGGAGGGCGTTTTGCAAGTACAGTACATCAGGGACAGAACTGTTAAGCAGCTGCAAAATAGACTCTTTCTATACAACACCTCTCAAACAGTTCCTTTCCCTGATACTGCATTATTTAACATTCTGTTGTAAGTCAGTTACTGTCTATGCTATGGCTGGCTAACTTGCTCTCACAAACTGTCCAGCTCATTAAGATCTACTACACTACACTGCTTTGTGACTTTCAGTATCACAACACACTAAATGTGCCGTAACACAGTGTAACACATTGCATTGCTAGTGCACAGTGTTTATATAGTATTCTGTAAAATGAATCATTTCAATAAATGATTAGATCAGCCACAAATCAGCCAATGTCTGGCATCAGCAACTGAAATGTGGAGAAAGAAAAGCTGCACATAAACAAATGAGTGTGCAGCAGCATACTGCCAACCTGACGGGTACAAGCATAGTATATGAGCATAACCAGGAATTATGGGAGTTCAACAAACAATATAATGTAATAGTGAACCATTACTCTAATCTAATTTAGATACAGCACTGCTCCATACATCAAAAAAAGAACAACTTGCTGCTGGCATGCAGGGGGTGGAATGTTCAACTGACTGATTTTACACGGTGATAAAATGATCCCATAACTGAGAGATCACAGCTTCAACCGCTGCAACAGCTTTGATATAGAAGCTAAACCAGAAACTCCAATTCCTTTGCCCACATGTAAGCTATAGCTTTCAATAACAAACACGTACTTCTGTGCCGGCCTGCTGGTGTTGTGCATTCTTTCCTCTCTTCTCCTTACCTCAGAGATTTCAGCAAATTGTGTGTTAGCCTGGCAGCATTTCTCTGCCGTCTCCACAGCCATCTCATAGTTGTCCACAAATGCTCTGTAAACTCCCAGCTGGCTGGCCTGATGGACAGAAAGAAAGAAAAACAGAGGAGTGATGTGAAGTTTGCATGTTAATCAACAGTTTGGACATTAAAATGTTTGTAAGTAATTGTGATTTGTGAAGAGATTGTTCTGCCAAGAATCAGTGACTTTAACCTCGAAGTATGCTTCTATATAGGAGAAATAAATAGCTGGCGAACAGCCTTTCCTATGCTCTCAGAACAGAACAGTTGACAGTAAAGGCAAGGAAACTCACAACATGGTCTTTCAGTGCAAGGCTCAGACACATTCAAAAACACTCAACAGTCCTCTTCAATTCACTTCCTTTTCTTAACTTCCACCACTTCATTCCTAAACCTCATACAAATGGCAACCTCACTGCTGCTCTAAACACAACATTAAACTATTTTTCTAAAAATAAGATACGCCTTTATTCATCCGCAGAGGGGAAATTGAGGGAAAATAAGTACTTTCTTTAAGTATACTTTCTTTTATAATATGTATACACAAGAAACTAATGAAACATTGTCAGACAAATGGAGAAAAGCAGCATAATATAGGCTGCTCTTCATAATCAGTCAGTACAAATACCTTTGTGTCTGAATTGTTATTGTAAAGCCTCTGTTTTAAGAAATGTATACAGTTGTGAGAACGTTCCTCATTCCTCGAGTTCTGTGAAAGTCCAAACTGTGGAACTCCAATGGAGAAATCTTTACAATAGACAATAGAAAGTCAACGTTGAACCTGTCAGTCTAACTTTGAAAATGCTAAATTGCAATAGTGGGATGTATAATCCTTGAAATATCATATCTGAGACAGGAGATTCAGTACGCTCAGCCATGTCTGAGAGACTGTATATGACTTGCAGACAATCGAACGCAACAACCAGCAGAGGAAAGACACGGATCACGGTCACAACAGCAGTGTGTATCCACAGTGCTCCCCGCAGCCCGGGCCCGTTGCCGTGGCAACCAGTGAGACTTGCACTGTGCCGGGGTGAGTAATTAATGATTGGTGTAACGGAGGCTATGAAAGCACATTTAGGAAGCTGGATGGCTGAATAAAACTCCACCAAACGCTGACTGCCAGCGCTGCGATCCATCTCAACGGCGAACAAAAGGACAATCAATTCTCCTGAACAAAAGCCAAAGGAGGAGAGAGTACAGTGGAGACGGGCTTTGTGTGTAATGTCGAGAGAGACACACACACACACAATTCTAAAAAGAATGCCAAATACCACAGAAACCTAACCTGAGTTTATTAAACATTAATTATTACCGTTAAAGCTCTTTATGGCCTGGCTTATTGCTATATTTCCAACCTTTTAGCCCCACACGAGCCTGTGTGCAGCTTCAGTAATTTGGGCAGATCTTTTTTGTCCTTTCCAAAGACCAGGCTTAAAGGGTAGTTCAGGTTTATTGCAACTTAGGTCTTCCTTTCGTAGTTCTATATATATTCTATAATGGAATTTGGCAGGCCAAGAAATGAGAGGTCAGATGATCAGGCCAGTTGTAAGCAAGCCAACAGTTTGGTCATATTATCTAAACCACTTCATTTGGAGGTTAAAACAAAAGTGAGTGCACCCAAAAGCTCACTATAATCCCTCATTGGTAATTACAGTAGGTCAGAGTTAAAACAGGAAGTTGGTCTGCGAACTGTGATGGATGTATACAATGAACAGTTTAACAATGTGAACAGCATTTCTTTAACAAGCTGTCTGATTGTTTGCTCCATGTTATTATTACTGATAGGAATGACAGCCAAAACTAGAAAAGCAAAACTGAATTTGCAACAAACCAGAATTGTCCTCTAAAACAGAGCCTCAACAGTCAGAGCCGTGAGGCAGTGCAACAACCTGCATCAGGAAATAAAGCTGGATGAGTCAGCGTTTGTATTGTTAATTTTTAATTTGTTGCCTTGTGTGAAACACTTGATAATTGGATTTTGGAAAAGTGCTCTACAAATAAAGGACTACACATCTGTAAAACAATAATTACTTGTGTCTCAAATGGACCTCATTGACTCCCTTTACATACTATTTTCAGGCATGACCCTGACCTTCCTAACGCGATCCTTGCCGTCATGGGGGTATGTGAGAATCAATTCTGGCAGGAATGTGAAGTCACAAGTTTTCTAAACATCATTTGCACTTATTATGTTACTGTTGGCAGTTCCAACATATGTATGTGTGGAAGATCTAAAATAGCCTCAGCTGTAAGGCTGCATGCCACAGGCCACCATGAAAAAACAAACACACAACTGAAGTTAGAATCTATTTACTTGACAAATAATTTGTCCTTATCTGTGTTTTTCAATTACTCACTGATGAATTTCAAGCAGTAAAATTGTCCCTATTTGGATCTATTGTGTTTAGCACATGCATCCACACACTAGGAAGAGGCAAAATGGAGGAAGGCGATGAATAAAGCAATTTTCACAATCCTGGAATCCCGTGTCCTGCCCTGGGCCACACAATCTGCACCACAGCGGAGGCCATTCAGAGCGTGACAGTTTGACTGTGGAGAGAACAGAGAGCCCGAACGTCTGCCACATCACCTCAACGCCGTGAAGGCTTACTGAGCGTACAGCTGCAGCTATAGTATCATGGCATAAAATGGCTTTGGGTGATGAAAGAAACTGCTTGGGTGTTTGGATTTCTCAGTTCAGGATTTGTCCTGTGTGAGAGTATGCGTGTAATCCGCAGCGGAAAACAACATTAAGAAAACAGCCTCATGACAGACTACGGCTATTACACAAGAAGGCTGGATTTAGCCACTTGGTTTGTACGGTAGTTCTGACAGAATGAATTATTTTCTTACAGAGGAAAGAAGTATGAATAATGATATAATAATGATATAAATAGGCAGATAAAGAAAGGACAAGAGTCCACAGCTATGTTAGCAGCTGCACAGTGGTGCTTTGAGCTCAGTGCTCACAGTGACAGAGCCAACATGCTGATGTTTACCATGTTCTCCATCTTAGTTTAATGCAGTGGTTGTCTTGTTGTTTTTTCTGTCACACCCCCCTTTAAAAGTCGGAAAAAGTTCAAGCAACTTGACTCCAGCAAAAGTGGATTTAATTTTTTCTCAATCATTAACAACATGGGCGATTAAAATAAAACAAAAGATTTCAGGTTAGCAAAAATAGCCTTGCTTGTATCAGAGCATTTTTTTTGTTAAGCCACCACATGAATCACATTTATGCAACTTTAGGTCTGCTAAACTTCCATGCCTCCCCTGCAGTGGCACCATGCTCCCCCACGGGGGCCCACCCCACAGTTTGAAAACCACTGATTTAGTGCGTTTGCATGCTAATATTTGATATTTGCACAAGGCACAAAGCACAAAGTATAGCTGAAGGCATGGGACATGACTGTCTGTACCAAATTTCATGTCCGTCCATCTCATTGTTGTTGAAACATTTCACAAAATTCTCACGTGTCATTAGATATTTTATTCTGCAAAGCATTCACTGAGATTTGATGAAGCGTGGCGGAAGTTATGGGAATTCACTTTTTCAATCTCGTGAACAATAACTTCGACCAGGCGATGTAGATCCAGAATGTTATATATTTGTAGGTTGGGTGTGTGAGCAGAAATGAAAGATAAAAAAATATTCCTCTTCTGTAAATTCACAGAACAAGGCTGTTTTGGCCAGTTTGCCTGTCTGTCTTCAAGGTGTAAACCCTTCACTTTGCAGCTGTGTCTGAAGAGCAGGAGCACGAGTGTGATTCAGCCCTATTTTCAGCCTTCAAACACTCCTCTCTGACACTCATGCTCATAACCTGTCTGTGACGCTTTGCCTCTTCCTCTTTTCTCTCCATCTCTCGCCTTCCTTGTTCTGATGTTTTGTGATTCCTAAGCCCGTCTGCTCCCCTCAAAGATTTCAGAGTCATGGCGAGACAGCTCTATCAGAGATGCAGCAGCCTAAATCTACTTGCCGACTCTCATTCTCTCTCAACCCCTCCCTCCCCCATCCCTCGCCTGTATCCCCTCCACTACTCCCATCTAATCTCTTCCTCCCTCTTCACCTCCTAACGGAACGGCTGTCATGTAGCATTTTTTTCCGTTTTCCCCCCCTTTTTGTAGGCTCAGCGTCTTCTCCCTTCTGACTTTTATTAACTACTGTCTGGAGAAAGGGAGGGGAATGTTGCCGTATAGGGTGTGTGAAAGCACCAGTGTCTATGTACAGTACAAACATGTGTGTGTACATGTTAGGGAGGAAGAGCGACAAAGACAGCCAGACTCCAGATTGAAGAGGGTGATAGAAAAAGTTTAAATACAGAGTGTGAAGAAACTGATTTTGTCAGGTTGACATAATGGTTGAGTCCAGACAAAGAAAAAAGGTAAACGTACGCTCCATCTCCCAACTGAAGCCCATACTACAGACAAATTCAAGCGTGTGTTTCTCGTTTTGGTGAGATCTCCCAGGTGACTCTGGTGGACTTGCAGATCCGAGTTCACCTTTGTTCAACTTTTACATATGAAGTCCAACAATGGACCAATGAAGTCACTCAGATGTGTTTGGGAACAGAGAAGTCTGCGGTGTCTATCAGGATACTAACTACAGCATTGCGCTCAAACATTGTCAACAGTCTACAATCACTCTGCCAAATATTTAATTTTTTCCCCACACCAGAACCATGACATCATATTTTTTTCTGAGGCTGAGTGGGATGCAGTTTTGTTGGGTGGAAGGCTTTGAAAGAAACCACTTGATAAAAACTGGATTTTGACAGTAAAAGATACAAATTAAATCCTAATTTCTTAGCTTAGCCCCAAGGGGAACCTCCTGAGATAAGTTAATAAGAGTGGGTATGTTTGTCTGTGTGTGTGCGTGTGTGTGCGTGTGAGTGTGTGGGAGAGAGAGAGAGAGAGAGAGAGAGAGACTCCTATTTATAGCAGCTTCTTCGAGACACAAAGCACACTGCAGTGATGGCCTCAGCTGCCTGAGGCAGAAAGGCGGCATTGTGAAACATGGCTGCACCTCCCCCTGTGTGTGTGTGTGTGTGTGTGTATGTGTGTGCGCGTGCGTGTGTGTATGCGTGTGTGTGTTCGAGCATAAGTGAGTCTAAGGGGGAGAGAGAGAGAGACAGGGAGAGTGAGGGAGACACTAGTGGGAAAGGAGCAGTATCTGGGAGAGAATTAACAAATGATTCATTGTGGGTTAATTGACCCATTGTGAAAATGATTAAATAGACCCAGTGTACATTTGGCTCTGACATCCTTGGCAGAAACTACTGGAGGGCAGAGAAAGAGGGAGAGCGGCTGTTGAGGAGGAAATAGGAAGAAAACAATGATTCAATTTGTCTAAATTTGAAATGATAAAGACGAGCATCACTACAAAAATCAAATTTACATTTTTTTTTTATTGATTTATTGAATTACGCTGAAAGATTCTGCTTCTGAAAGCCTCCCAATTCAAGAAACAACATTACTGTGAGTAATGTCACTCTGAAGCTGCACCCTGAATGTCCTTTTTAATATTGTCATCATTTTTGGGTGCCCAGTGTTAGTCACTTACACCCAGGGACGTTTCTGCTGGCAGAAGCGCAAAAACTACAACCCCCAAATGCCCCATCCCCTTTACTAATCTCTTTCTTTTTCCTCACCAGTTTCTGGAAGAGGTCCCCAACTCTCTGGTGGTGGCTCCACTGCTGGACACGGGGCAAAAGTCCATCGTAGAACTCCCTGTGGATCTCATAGAGCTCAGGCACTTTGAAGAAGATCGTTTCTATCTGGGCCACAGTCAGCACAGGCTGCGACGTCGTAGCTGCAGCCTTCAGAGGCTTCATAGGCTGAGAGGAACAAACAGTAGAGATGACACATGGAAAAGTTGCTTTTGCAGGGCGTCTTGTGTAAACTATAAGCACTAGTATGTACACAAAAATTAGGCCCGTTTTACAGATAGAAAAGTCTGATCTGGCTCCGTAAAGCAAGCCCAAGTGACCTCAATTATATTATCTGACAAGGAACAAAACATTTGCTGCATAAATAGGAAGTACCATTGTTGGTACAAGTGCTGGCTGAAGCTACCAGCATGTAGCAAACAAGAGACATGTGAATGCTCTTAACTATAATAATATAATGTTTATAATGTTTTGACTGATTCAGGATTTAGGTATACAGTGACTGCCTCTTGCCAGAATACATCTGCCACTTATTCATCTGGAAACTTTTTTTCCTTTTTACAAAAGAAAAGTCTTACTTGGTCTGGGGTAACCAGTAGCTTATAATGAAAGCTAAGGTTAGCAAACTTTAGATGGATATTACTCTGTTACTTTGCTGTCTTTATGACTTTTCTTGCACAACTATATAGCTTGTTAGATTAAAATTTAAACTGGTTGATCATAAAAGTTAAAAGAAGTTAAGTTCTTATGCAAACAGTAGCTTATTTACACATCCAGAAGACAGAGAGCAGAACCAGCTGCTACATGCTCCACTATGTTCACCTGCTAACTCTGTCTGCTGTTTGGTGCTGTGCGGGTAACATACAGTGGATTCATCAGAGCTTTTTCACAGGAAACAGGGTTGGAGTTTAGAACAGCCAGAGTGAATCAAAACAGTAAAGTTGCGGGCCTTGAAACCATTAGCTAATAAGATGCTATGCTCCGCAGGGTTATTTATTCACTTGCTAGTATAAAAGTGAAATGATGGACTGGAAAAATCCTTTGGGAATTGTCTGTTCAGTGAAAAAGGGTGGGTGGTATAATTGATTTGCAACATTTGCTTGCACTGGCTTATTACAACATACAATATGAAAGATATAGCTACCGTTGTAAAAATGGGCTCTTCTCATGGTATATACTTTCATATCACTGAAATATTACTTTAAAATATGGCTTTATTTATTTTATTTTATTTCTAAATCTCCAGCAAAAAACAGCCAGTAAATAAGGTAAAATCTCTCTTTTTCATTCACAGTTTACAGATGCATCTAACGGCACCAAATGAAATTCAGTGTGAAGAATCTATTATTAACTGGTGGCAAAACATAGATACTGAATACTCAATTTGCTTAAACAATAGGCCTACTGCTAATAAGATTCTACTGTATAATTGGTATGTGGTGTGTGTGAGGGGGTGTTTTCCCACCAGCAGCAGTGCCTCCAGGTGACTGAGGTATGTTTCCTCAGTGGCCAAGATCCCAGACAGGACCCACTTCCTCATCTCCAAGCCTTTTTCCAGGTCACATTCATTCTGTAACAAACATGCAGGCAAATAATAATAAAGTTAAAGCAATATCCAGCAATAGAATAATATGCACATTTAATCCAATCCTGTAGATGCCCACTATTCTTTACTTGTTCTTAAACAAATGTCTTAACTGTTTTTACACTGGAAGGCACACAATTTGATTATTTGTCTAAGACTGAAGAACATTAAAAGCATGTAATTCCTTATATCGGCTGGTAAAAAGACACATATTATGACTTGTTTCTAAATCTCAAATTGAAGGGTTCCTTGTTCTTTGTTGAGCTTGCATCTCCTGCAGGATTGTTGTTTATGAATGCCACAGATGAGAAAATCAAACGGCAAAAATTGCCCCCTCTAGAAATCCCCCGTGGTTGCCTCCTCATTCCCCTCAGCCCAGTCAAAGCTCACTGAGGAGTATGGACATGAAAGAAAACAGACAGACGGAGAGATTCCTTGGGCTGTCTTGTTTAACCCACAAACTCTGAAATAACTCAAACAGGCAGGATCTCCTGTGGGAGCAAGGTTGGTGTATAAATATGTGTTTGTGAGAGAAAGTGCAAGTATCAAGTGCACGCATACACGCATGCACACACACACACACACACAGTGACCCCAGGTTGGGACGTGGACACTTCCAGTGCTTCAGGCTATGAGGAGGAGGAAAGAGAGAGAAAACATAGAAGGAAGGGTGAGACAGAATGACAATCAACAGAAGAGAGGGAGAGCAAGACAACACAGATTCAGTGTAATTAAGAGTGGAGGGAGAGAACAAAGAGGGCACAATATCATGATGACATGATGAAGGGGAGGCAAAGATAGAGGGAAGGTCTACATTTAACAGTCTAGAAAGGAGTAAGAGACATAATCAAAGCTTGGAGCTACAAACTGTACCATGTATCTAAGCATAATGGCAGCATAAGGCAGGATTTCTGGCTGTGTGTGGCACATAGAGAGAGAGAGACAAGAGACCACAAGATGGAAGAGGCACGGTGAGAGGAGACAAAGACTGGCTACAGGAAGTAGAGAAAAAGTGATAAAATGCAAAGAGAAAGAGCATCTTGAAGCAGAGGAGGGCAAAGTAAAGAGGGAGTATTCTCTCCTCTACTTTAACACACGCTTGAAGTAGAAATCTGTGTCATGTGAGAATGGGTGCCAGAAAAGTTGAGCTGGAAATGTCCCATCTGAGCAAAGTTCCTGGGATCCATTGCAAATATTGTAATTAAAAGCCACGAGATTCCTGGGTCAAAAACAACTAATACATTTTCATAATGAACCTTCAATGCACTCGGGCCTCCCCTGTTTTTTCTCTTATCTTATAGACAGGACACCTTAATACTGTCTTTATGCTTACACGGCAACTATCTGGGCTCTACATGTGAAAGGGGTTCACAGAAGATCAAGAGTGGTTGTACGTGGTGGGCAAAGTGATCGAGAGAAAGGCACATTCAGCCTGTGACTTACAAGGCTACCTGGCTTTTTGAAACATACGATTTGTGTTTGTGTGGATGAGTGTGTGTGTCTAGGCAGAGGGTAACAGCAAAATCCGTCCAGTAGTCAGAACGAGAGCCAAACAAGGGATGTGAATTGAAGTGAAGGAGATAAGGACAAAATCCACAGTCCTTGTTTTGCGCAGAAAAGCATTTAGAGCCAAGACAAATGCCACAGCTGATATGAGGGTTCATGCTTTTTTAAGATAGACTTGAAAAAATGTGAACCTATCCTTTAAGGTTTAACCTATTGGCTTTCACATTTGTGATGCTGGAAACCAGCTAATTTGTTTTATAATAATTTGGTCTTTTGCTTAAAGAATGAATAATTATAAAAATTTGTGTTGGTGTATGTTAAGCCACCTGTGATTCTACAGCTACATGTCCACACAGCAGAATTCAAGCATTGTATAAATATTCATGCTAAAATGATGTACAGTATTGTGAGCATGTACTGTGTGTACTTGGATGTCTGTAATTGTACGTGCATTTATTTTAAATGATGGGGTAAATGGGCCTGAAACCTGTTCCATGGCCACTGCATTTGCAGATGCTAGCATGGGTCAAAGGGGACTGTTAAGAGCCCAGGAGATTATGACGCGGTACAGGATTATTCTGGACACCATTACACAGGAGAATTGATTAGCCTGTTAGCCAAAAAGCACGACTTAGAAGCACGGCATCAATTTTGATTTAGTTTTAGCAACTTGCAGTTAAAAATTTAAAATGGCACTCACTGTTTACATCTTACTGTGTGTGGCTACAGTTCTATTTTACAATAAATTAACTATTAATAAATCAATCAATAACCATTAATCCTCCTGACCTAAACAAAAGAGGCGTGTACAGGATCTGAAGACGCTACGTTGCATTACGTTAACGCAGTGGGCGCCATGCAACTCAAGAGTATTTGAATTATTGATTACTCTCCAGATTATTTTCTTTAATTCATCAATATAAAACAGAGAAAAGCAACAAATCTTCAATAAATGAGAAGCTGGAACCAGGCAATGTTGGTGTTTTTACTTGAAAAATGACAAAATGAAAAGAATTTTTGAGTCTATCAACTCATAGACCATTAATCAATTAATCATTATAGCCTTACTTTGGTCAGTATAATAGTTTGGAGAAATCAGGCAAAGACTACGAGCAGAATGGGACAGGATTTATAGTATATTCATATTCTCCTTCTCTTCATCTGACTGCTTATCCTGTCCTCAATAGTTAAAAGTAAAGAGAGAAAATATACAGTAGAAGTCCTGTATATTTTCTTTGTCTCTCTTTCTTAGGTGAAGGATGAAGGAAATTATTTGGATGGACATGTATTATGCATCACACCGAGCTGTCTGGGGATCTGTGCTGTATATAACAATATCTGTTTCCTCTGGAAAAGCTCATTATGTATAGACTCTAAGACAACCAAAAGCGGAAAAGTTTTCTCTTTTCATATTATGAGTGCAAATAAAGCGGCATTGAAAGTAAATAAGTAATGTAACTATGATTCATGATTGCTCTTAAATGGATTACATTGCATTGCAGCGGCTTTGAATATGTCTTCCTGCCTCTGCTGACTTAAAAGGGAAAGCCTGGGGCGGCAACGGAGCCCCCTGAACGTTCATGAATTAATGAAAAATGAATGAATCATTGCTGAGCTACAAGTATCGGCATAGCTGTGTGACTTTACCCTCGCAGGATGTGCACGCTAGTGAAAGAACATGAGAATCACGGGGGCCCATTTGAAGCATCAAGAACATTTCGAAGGAAATCACGAAGAAGGAAACTTTAACATTCAGCCCGGTTACTGAACTAGCAGAGGGAAGACGAGTGCCATAAAGTGTTTATTCATCATTTCAGACCCCAGACGGCTCCCCTAGGAAGTACCCACATCTCCAGACATATCATCTTTTATTCATCGCCGTGCCAACTAATGAGCTCTGGGTTCAGACTAAAGGGGTGTCTGGCTGCATTTTTTGGTAATCAAAAAAGTAAAAATAAAACACATTCTCCCTAGCTTGGGGTAAATTTGGGTTTCTGTGTCCATGTTTTCACATCCAGTGTGTGCAACAGAGTCAACAAAAGCTAATATTTCACATTTGAACCCACACTTAAACCCTTACACAACACACAACACCTCTTAGCGGTGGCACTACCTAACATCATTTAAGAATTCAGATTTGCTTCTGATTTATTTATGCATGGATAATGTTTGTGCGAGAGAATGAGAATCAATACAAACAGTGTTCATTTGACAAGCAACCCGTTGTAGCTTAGGAGGCGCAGAGAGAAACTGAGCAGCAGCCACTGTAATAACATTATTCACCATCTCTCTCCCTTTCTCTCTCTCTCAAATGCAGTGTACGAAACTCATATAAACATTCAGAGCCAGGACAGGAAAGAAGTGAGCTCCAACGCATGCCCTGTACCCCATTTTATTAACCGTATTTCATTTTTCATATTCACTAATCTGTTTAGCATCCGGTTCTGCCATCCCTCGCTTTCTGAAATGTGATTGCTTCATATTCTCCACATGTCTACCAAGTAATGGAGCTGTCCTAGAATTATGCTGCGCTGCAGGACAAAGACAGTTCTTTTTTAATGCAGCATTACTTCTGGTTATTTAAACTGCACTTTAGCCAGATGTGATAGATGTTGATAGAGTTTGTGTCTGCAGGGGTTTTCAGCATAGGATGTTCGCAATGCCGCATCACACCATGAATTCTGTTAAAAGGAAAAAAGCTATGCAATCAGCGGATGGTCATTACAGATGTGATAGATCAAAACGGGAGATTTTAATGTTTCCTAATCCACTGAAGGTGATCATCTAGAGGTTTAGAGAATGAGCAGGAAAAGGAACGAACTCCCCCCGTCAAGTTGTGGTCTCGAGGAGTGAAGTCCGACAGGATGATGGGGCAAAGAAAATGAGGTGGATTTTGATATAACTTAGGGATCCTCGGGAACAGAGAAAACTGATCATGGCTTATTAGGAATTCTGGGGGTGCACCAGTGGCTTGAGGGTTTGAGGCACTGACCATAAACTGCAGCATCCCAGGTTCAAAATCTGGGATTTGAATTGCATGTCGTTTCCCATCTCTCTCCCTCATTTCTCTCCCTCATTTCTCTCCACTGTCAACTTTCTAATAAAGGCATTAAATACCCCACCAAAAAAACAATAAGAAAAAAAAATTAAGTGGGCTCTGGCTGTCCTTGATTGAACTTCATGTGTCACGCTGTGCACTACGATGAAAAGATAAAAAAGATGAGGTTGGTGGTTTTGCGAAATCATTTAAAAACAGCTCAGTCCAGCTGACTTCAGTGACCCCCCTCTTTTCCCTCTTCAGAGCAGGGAAGAGTCAAAATCAAAATTAAATCAGCAGTATTGCTGATGGTGGTGACTCATCACGGTGACATCATAAAACCATCAGCTTCTGCTGAGCCAATCAGAGCTTGTTGGGGCTCTGACACATCAACTGGGAGGATGTTTGAAGAGTGACGGTCCAAGGGCAAATCAAGGGCGATGGTAACTCCATTTTCATGGAGAATGTGTTGCATAGAGAATGTGTTGATGGATAATTGTTGGTTGGCTGTATAATATGTTTAACTGACTCAGATGCTGCCTCTGCCAACCCTAAACACACACACACACACACACACACACACACACACACACACAGCATTGGGTTTGCTCAGGGATTCTGCATCTAAACACAAGACTCAGCAAATCGTCTACAATCTCCTCCACCATAAATGTACCATCCTGCTTGGCGAGAACAGAATGTGTGTGTGTGCATTTGTGTACTTAAAAAAGAAGCCATTGGCTTGTGCAGCCCAAAGTAGAGATGGCATGCTGTGTGTGTGTATACATTAAAATCAGACAGAGTTCCAAGCTCACAGGTCAAAGGTTGGATGCAGTCAAGGGGACTCATCATTTATTGGTAAATTCAAGCCATGAATCAGATTGACAGGCACTCGCACACCAGCTCAGACAGTGAGCAAAGACAGAGGGGGCGGAGTAACTGATACTGCTTCATGACCATTGATGCGATTACTTCCTCCAAGGGCACAGTGGAGAGAAGCAGTATTAGCTTATTACATTCTCCACAACAATCTCTCTTTTCCTAATTGAAGACATTGCTCTAGCATGTTCATTTGCTACCCACAAATTCTTTGGTGCAAATCATAATTGGTAAATGGTGATGACAAATGAAAAAAATATATCAATTATACATTTTAAACATATCAATAATAAATAAGAGAGAATATAAACACTAGAGACAAAAAAGAAAAGCCTAAATAGATTCTGGCTGTAGCATCCATGTTTTTTATTTTATTTTTGCTGACACTGTGGTGTTGTGTGTCCTCTCCATGGTAACCTTTAAAGAGCACCAGACGTCATAGATCACTGGTTTTCTCTCCGCAGACAAGACGAGGCAAAGGAGGGAGGGTAAGAGGGGCTGATGGCAGCCATGGAAGTGATGGAGGTGATTGGTAATTCTGCCTAATACCCTGGATGAGAAAAAGCCAGACTCTTAAGGGGGATGAGTTTCTTCCCTGGATGACTGCTTCTGGGTTATCAGGCAGGGGATATTGTCCTTTATCAATCCTCTCAAATGGCAGATTTGATTTCTCATCAATTGACAGATTTTTGACAGGATTGCTCTAAGAATAGATTAGCCCACTTCCTGCACTGTATTGAGGTCAAAGTACGTAAGTATTGGCACCTACTGGCATCCATATTTGTAGAATTGAATATTTATCTGGTATTATGCTTTGTATCATTAATAGAAAAAAATCCTTAATATTAAGAAATTCATAGCTTAGGTTTGTTTATAGTCAATTTCTGCTCTTGCTGCATAACCTAAAGGAATAAAATTGCTGAGAAAATGTGGCAATGGCCAGCAGTAAGACATGGCAGGATGGCATACTGACCGACTTGGAGGACTCTAATGATCCAGAAGAGAGGGTGTCACGACTGCTGCGGCTCTTGGAGCTGAGGTGCGGTGAAGACGACGGCGAGTCATCGATGTACGGCAGGATGTCGTGGTGCCTCCGTTGCTCCTCTGCGCGGTCTGCATCGTAGCCGTATGAGGGAGGGGTCCCGGTGAAATGACCATCTGTAATAATATAGGTAATAATATACATAATCTCATATTAATATATTGGCCGGTGGGAATTCTATTAACATATACAAACAGTTTTCATTTGGATCCCTTAGAATAGTTTTCTTCAACAATTGACCTTCAACAAGTGACCAAGATACAAACTGAGCAGGACACTACAGTTAAAAAATCTACTTTCTGGTAAACAAACCTGTAACAGCGACACTGCTTCAATATAAAAATAATCTAAATAATCTAGTTTGGCATTTCTGTACTACAATTCTTCATTATTTATCAGCGGACATATATACAGAAACCAATATGTCTGCCATAAGCTAATATTGGCTGATATGTTGGCCTGGCCAATTTATCCGTCTAGCTCTAACACGCAGGTTTGGATGTATAGTTTAAACTTTGTCGAAAACTTAACGTCTAGGTTACTTACAGCCACTGTTTCAACATTTCTACTTAAATGTTAATAGTCAAAGTTATTTAAATGCTGTTGAAACAACAGCTACATGTATATGGGACACATGTAGATGTTTAAAAAAAATCCCACTGTTTAATCACATTTAACATTTTACACTTTTAACGCAGACATACAGATGTTTTGTGACCTGCAAATCAACAAATTCATGTTTCTGTGTGCGCTCAGTTATAAGAGGGACAAAGGTAGGGAGATATAAAACTGGTATTTTGCGATGCCAAACCATCTCCTGACACCATCCTTTCACATAGTTTACAGAACACAACTTTTGTAAACTTCAATCTAACCACAATTCATTATTATTACCTGTGCCTTTGCAATGCACACTGGGTAGATTCATGTCTTACATTTGGTGGAGTTCATTTTCAACACTAATTAATGCAGCTCTAGAAACTGGGGCGCACAAAATGAGCTTCCCCCTGCATCTTTGTTCACGCACTCATACAAAAACATAAAGCTGCGATATGAAGCACTTGAAGAGGCCAACTACAAACTGGGTCAAGGTTCAAATAATTTGAACACCGATTGGAGCATCTCTAGGGAAATTTTCAGCACCCTCCCTCTGACCTGCTTCTGCGGAGGGTGCCATCACTTTCTCTGAAGGAAAATAACAGCTCAGCCAGCACAAAGCGGTTTTGCCTATGATTATGTGACCTGCCCTTTACGAGGAGAGGTGGGAGAGACAGACAGAACAAGAAACAAAGGTCAGAAACTACAATTTGACTACAAAATGACTTATTTTACAAAGTCACACTCCATGGGGTGATGCATTTCATTGATGTACAAGCTGAGGTTTCCCCTAAACATGTTCTGGTGAGTTAAAATTGTTCGGCTTCCAGCAGGAGAGAGTACAGTCAGCGGTTCGGGGAATCTGGTGTGTAACAGTTGAGGGGGAAGGCATCATGCGTCTCTGAATGTCAGAGAAGACCTTTTGCACATCTCCCTCCCACTCCTACATTCAACCGAGCCGCACTTCTCAGAGAGCTTGCCGGGCCTCCTCTGTGCTGACTCATGTCAGTAACATGCCACGGCTCTTTCCAGAGTCACAGTCAAACACAAACACACAGAAAGACACTCCAGTCCACAGCAATTAAAAGAGTTCTGTGAGTTCAGAACACCTTCAGCTAACATCTACTTACATTGTATTTGTGCCTCTCTTTCATTTTGTTTTATGAATTTTTAGCTCACGCCAGCACACACACACACACACACACACACAGACATATGCTCTTAAAGTCACAGGTCACAGAGTGAGGGAAAAGAACAGCAAAAAGATAGACAGAACAATGGCAGTGTGTCCACGGCCCGTCTGACCTTCAGCCCACCCACCGCTTGCTGCGTACGCACTCGCTGCTGCCTGTGGGCGTGTGCTGCCCACTGCGCCTGCATGGACCAACGGCATCCTGCCAGGCAAAGAACAACATAGAGGCTCTGTGTGTGACTGTGTGTGTGTGTGTGTGTGTGTGTGTTTGTATGCAAACAGTCTCTTCCTACAATGCCAAACCTCACAAGAAACCAAACTGAGTGTACTACATATTCTTCATTCATTTTTAGTCCTAGTATGTGGCACTGCTTTTGCAAACCCTGCAAACTTTCCACAGACTCATAGGTTTTTGGTTTGATTAACACCTTCATTCGTTTCTTCGCTGTATCCTTTCCTAACTTGCACTGAAGTATCATTTTAGGTTAGATTGCATGTGTTTACAAAGCACATATGCACACACTCAGCCTTTAGCAGGGTGCAGCTATCTGTATTCATGCCAGTTAGCGTTACTGAATTACCAGATCTTCCCGAATTAGAGCTTGTCAACAACAAAACATTTCAGAAGACAACATGCTAACAAGAAGACAATGCACATATTAGGAGTGATTCACAGCTTGTCTAAAAATATAAGGTGTCTATGTAAAAAACACAAAGTGGAATTATTTTCCTGTTTTCCCCAACCCCACCTTTGTGTATTCATCTCAAGCTGGCTTGTTTTAATCTTCCTACAACCTTGCTTTGGAAAAATGGCCCTAGAAACACACTAAGGGTGTGTGTATTTTTGTGTTTGTGTGTGTGTGGAATGTCTTTTGTGCCCACACAGCCCTGAGGCCCAAAAATATTGAGCATCCAAACAACCATTTTTAGGCCGTAACCACCTCTTGGCTAAAAAAGAGGGCAGAGTCACAGACAAAAAACCACAATCATGAATAATAATGATAAACTGTAGAAAAATGAAGATGAAATGCCAAATGAACCACCAGCAGCTCTGACTAAACAGTGTGAGTGTGTCTTCTGGGGAATGTGAAGGTAAATAGCTCCACTTTATCTGCTTCTTACAAATAAAACAAGACAATCCAGGCGTTTTCTTTCTTCAACATAAAACAATTAATTGAGACCATTACTAGTCTTGCCTGATATAGCGTTCATGTATATTTTTCAACCATCTTAGCATAATTTACCTGTAATGGATTTGTGCATATGTAAAACGTGTGAGTGCATAACCAGCAGTTTCCAAAGTGGGAGGGTCTGAGCTTTACAAGTCCGGTTAATGGGTCACTATAGCCTGTGGTTGTCTGTCCACGTCTGACCTCATCTCGGCCCAGACGCTGCTCCTAACGTTGCCTTGAGTCAGTTCCTCTCTGCCTGCCTCTCATGCTCTTCCACTTACTGTACATCTTCTTTCTCTCCGTCTTTCGAACAGATCGCTTGTGTTTCAGCTGATTTGTGGCCTCTACAGCTGGCCTCTTCATCATCATGCTGCTCACAGATGAGCACCCCCCCCCCCATTACCCCTCCCACACCTGTTCCCCCTCAGGAAAAGAATAAAATGCAATTCCTGAGTTTTAGGCTGTCAAAAATGTGATTCATTTGAAAGAAGGGAAAAGTGAAAAAGAGGATCCCTTCAGTTCCATTAGGGTCCATGCACATTTCTCGTGCTTGGGCCCTAAAAATGACAGAAAAGTGTCTATAGAGCGGGTAAAATACTCACACACAGACACACACACTTATATCATTCAAAAAGAAAGATCCAAAAAGCAGTCCAGCTATTGATTTCTTCCTGGAGCTATTGGCAAAATAAAACAACCAAACTGCTTCAAACCACAGAAATAAAACAAACACACACACACACACACACACACGCACACACACATTCTTGTAAAATGTTTACATGGAAACAGTGTTTGGGTGGGGGAGCAAGTCTTGCTTTTCTTGCTGCAGGTGGAAAACTACACACCACGCACACTGGGAATAGCTGGTGCACCGCGGCCATAGCAACGCATGGATCTTTCCAAAACGATACCACAGGCAGTATCAGGGTGTCATGTGACACCGATATGTTGATGGGATGTCCTGTATAATAGAAAATGTGGCTTGAAATACTTCACATGGGAGCTGTTTGCAACTGTTAAATCAGTACAGCTTCTGTGTGCTGTATATGATGCCCAATCACAGGCTTTTTTGGAGCCTGACACACCTTGAAAAGAATGAATTGTGCATTTGGTTTTGTCAACAACTCTTCAACAACCTGAGGAGACAAGGGCTCGGTATCGAACCCCAATATCTAAAGACACAATTGTGCCTGGATCCCAGACTACTGAAGTATGTTTATTACCAACAGTTGGCACTGAATATCCGATTAGATTCAAAATCTAGTTTACTTTTCTTTATTTAGAAAAAGTAGAAAATGTTTGGCTCGTTTTTTTAAGACAAAATTTAACATTTGAAAACTTTGACTTCTTTTGTTAAAGGAATGTTTGTACAAATTTGGATCTAGTTAGGAGCTGGTTAGCTTAGCTTAGCATAAAGACTGGATGCACAGGTAAACAAGCATAGATATGCCCAAATGTAAAAAAAAAAAATGTAAACCATGTAACACGGTAAACCACAACTTGATGTTCTTATCCTTCTGATTTTCTACAGATTAAAACAAACATGATCTAAAGCATTATTTAGTGCTTTAGAGATGCCGAGCAGAGCCACCCAGCACTCAGACCCTCTTCAGTGCAAATAGCCTCATTAGCTACATTAAGTGTACAATTAGTTTTTAGCACTACCACATACAGTAGGCGCCTTATTGTACTTAGTGTCATTTTGAGAGGCCACTCAACACACTCTCTGTCACTATTCATTCTTTGTCTCACAATATTCCCTCCCTATATCTCTTTATTGTCATACCTCTTCATTCTGCCCTTTTCTTTGGTTGTGCCTCAGTCTTTCCTTTCCTTGCTCTCAGCCATCATGAACACAACAGCTATACACAGACATGAATGAGCTGAGCGTCTATTTTCCTCACTCATTCTCACAAATATGAGGCATTAAAAGGGTTTTCTGAGTTTAACTGCGATAAAGAGAGATGTGGCCGTCAGACAAAGAAAACAATTGTTGCCTAAAGCCCTGCAATTCTCTGTGTGGTAATGCAGGAAAGGAGGGGCGAAAGTAAAACACCAGGAAACAAGCCACTGCTGAGACAGACCTAATTATGAAAAACAACAATAAATAGAAATAAAGTGACAAATAAGAATAGAGAAGACAGAGACAATG